TCTACTCTGGAAGCAAGATCAGGAGGATTGTGGTTTGAGGCCAGCCCTGGCAAATAGTTGCAGAGACCTCATCTCCAAAATACCAGAGCAAAATGGACTGAAGTTATGGTCAAGCGGTAGAGAGTCTGCTTTGGAAGTGTTAAGCCCTGAGTTCAAACTCTAGTCCTACCAAAAGAAAGAAAAAATAACTTTTCTTTCTGTCTTTCCTCCTCTCCCCAGTACCTTTTTACAAGTATGGTTCTAGGGCTGGGGTAAGACTCAGTGGCAGAGGACTTACCCAGCAATAAATAAATAAATAAATAATAACAAATTACTGCCTCCTGGTGCTTACCACAGGCTGTGTTCTTACTCTGACTGTATAGACAGAGGAAGCACTCCGATACTGGTGGCTCACGCCTGTAATCCTAGCTACTCAGGAGGCAGAGATCAGGAGGATCGGATTGCGGTTCAAAGCCAGCCCAGATAAAAAGTTCTGGACCCTATCTTGAAAAAAACCCATCTTGAAAAACCCTTCATAAAAAAAGGGCTGGATGGAGTGGCCCAAGGTGTAGGCCCTGAGTTCAAACCCCAGTACAAAAAAGAAAGAAAAAGGAAGGACGGAAGAAAGAAAAGAAAGAAAGAGACAAGTAAACTTACCCCATACACACCTCAGCCCAGGCCCTGTGTCTGGTCTGTTTTGTGAATGGGAGACATGAGAAAAAAAATTATTATGTTCTTGGCTGGAGTCAGACACACCCCTGTGTCCATCCCTCAGGATTTGCCATGCACCCTCTGAGTCTTTGTCTGTAGATTGTTCCCTTGAGCAGACACAATGAGCACTGTGTTTCATTCCTTTGTCAATGTTGAGAGGGGTAGTAACCAAAGCCCCATTAGAGGAGAAAGGTGAGGGTTGAAGATAAACCACTTATTTAAGTAGCTGGCCGATTGCATTTTGGCTGCCACTGGGAGGCAGCAGGTTGGCCAGAATCTAGGAGGCCCTTTATCTCCTGGAGTCATGAGGCCCCAGGGAGGCCTCAGGGATTTGGAAGGATCCCTTCCTCTTAGGTCCTGTGGAGTCAGCTGGCTCCAAGCTGGTTTTCAGTAGTCCCTCCATCTTGGTATTTATGGTCTTAAATTATTTTACCCAGAGTGCCTGGTTTCTATTTATTTATTTATTTATTTTTTTGTGGTTTCTAGACATAGAATGTGGCTGGCCACATAAAGGATATGCTTCTGGCTTAGTTTGAAAAAGATTCTAACTTGTAGGGCTGGGGTATAGCTCAGTGATGAGCCTGGCATGCATGGGGCCAATGGTTTCATCCCCAGCATCACAAGATAAAAAGGAAAGCAAAGACGGGCAGCTAGTGCTTCCCACCTATAATCCTAGCTACTTGGGAAGCTTAGATTGGGAGGATTGTGGTTCAAGACCAGCATGGGCAAATAGTTCATGAGACCACCCCCATCTCCAAAATGACCAGAGCAAAGCCAGGCACTGGTGGCTCACACCTGTAATCCTAGCTACTCAGGAGGCAGAGATCAGGAGGAGCTTGGTTTGAAGCCAGCCTGGGCAAATAGTTCAAGAGCCCATATCTCAAAATAACCCATCACAAAAAGGGGTGGAGTGGCTCAAGGTGTAGGCCCTGAGCTCAAACCCCAGTACTACATAAAAAAAAAAAAAAAAAGACCAGAGGAAAAAGGACTGGAGGCATGGATCAAACCATACAACACCTGAAGTCTTGGGTTCAAACATCAGTCCCACTTCCCAGAGAAAGAGAGAGAGAGAGAGAGAGAGAGAGAGAGAGACAGAGAGAGAGAGATTGATTCTGACTTGTATTTTATTTTATTTTTTTGCGGGACTGGAGTTTGAACTCAGGGCCTACACCTTGAGCCACTCCACCAGCCCTTTTTTGTGGTGGGGTTTTTTTCAAGATAGGGTCTTGTGAACTAGTTGTCCAGGCTGGCTTTGAACAGCAATCCTCCTTATTTCTGCCTCCTGAGTAGTTAGGATTATAGGTGTGAGCCATGGCATCCAGCTTGACTTGCATCTTGATGGGAAGACTCCCCTCTCCTTGTGGGCTTTTTTTCTTTTGTTTTTTGGGGGGGAGTTTGTTTGTTTGTTTTTGTAGTACTCAGGTCCTCTACCACTTGAGTCGTGCCTCGTTCCCTTTTATTTTAGTCTGTTTTTTAGATGGACTCTCTTGACTTTCCAAGCCTCAGACCATGATGTTCCAACTTCTGCCTCTGTGGTAGCTGGGATCACAGGCATGTACCACCATGCCTGGCCCATTCCTGACTTTGATGAGGCAGGTTGTCACACTGGGGAGGCCTGTGTGGCAAGGACCTGAGGCCCTTGGTCAACAGCCTGAAAGACCTGAATGCTACCAACATTGGTCATAAGTTTGGCAGCAGATCAGTCTCCAGCCAAGACTTAGGATAAGACAGAGGCCCACTTGACTGTACATACATTCCTAGATCCACTGAGAGGCTAGCCTATGTTTTCTTCAATGTTTGGGGTAATTTATTACACAGCAACAGCTAGCTAATACAGTCAGCCTTCTATCTTAGATATTCCAGGCACTCTCCTGAGTTGAGTGATGTCCAGTGAGTACTACCTCACTTGGGGCATACGCTCAGGAAAGCAGCGTCCACTGTACCATTTACAGGCCAGGATACTGGCCTGTAAAGTGGTCATCATAGGGACAGTAGCTGAGAGTCAGACCCCAGAAAGAATGAACTTACATGAGGACAAAATGCAGCAGAGCCCAGCTCTAGTCCTGGAGCCCAACTCTGGTCCCTGACAGCATTCACTCACCCTAATTTCTTCTGAATGTCATGTGACACTGGTGTTATCACACTCAGATCTCATTAGATCCTAATGTGCACTCAGTATTTGAGCACTTTCTTTTTTCTTTTCTTTTTTTGGTGGCACTGGAATTTGAACTCAGGGCCTTATGCTTGTTAGGCAGGTGCACTACCACTTGAGCCACTCCACCAGCCCTTTTCTTGTGTTGAGTATTTTCTTTCCTTTTTTGCTTTTTAATTAGGACTTTTTTTGGGCAGTACTAGAGTTTGAACTCAGAGCCTCACACTTGCTAGGCAGGCATTCTACCATTTGAGCCACTCCTCCAGCCCTGTGTTGAGTATTTTTGAGATAGGGTCTTCCGAACTTTTTGCCTGTGCTGGCTTTGAACTGCGATCTTCCTGATCTCTGTCTCCTGAGTAGCTAGGATTACAGGCTTGAGCACTGTCTATGTGTCAGGCCCCTCAGATGGTCCTGTCAAGTGGGCAATAGAACCATTAAGAATTACTTGGGGCTGCGCACTGGTGGCTAATGCCTGTAATCCTAGCTACACAGAAGGCAAAGGTCAGGAGAATCATGGTTCGAAACCAGCCCCAGGCAAATAGTTTGTAAGACTCTTTATCTTGAAAAAACCCTTCACAAAAAAAGGGCTGGTGGAGTGGCTGAAATTGTAGGCCCTGAGTTCTCTTCCCAGTCTAGGGTCTGCCAGGAGATGAGTGGGCTCAAACATGAAGCAGAAAGATAAGACAATCAGGCTAGGAGAGCTGTCCAGACAGAGGGAAGAATAGATGCAAAGGCCCAGGGTCAGAGGAACATAGGAGCTGCGTAGAAGGGGCCACAGATGGGGGGGCATCTGGGGCCTCAGAATGTCTGTAAGAAGCATAGTGTCTTCTGTCATCAGGTGTAGGGAGGAATTCCAACTCAATGCTTAGGAAGCTTCCTGTTTTTACTTCCTGAGTAAAAGGAAGCTCTCTGAGACCTTGGCCTCTCTGGGCCTCTATTTTCTCATGTGTTAAATGGGAATAAGAACAGACCTTATCTGTCAAGCTGTGCAAAGTGCTTGGCAGACTGGGTGTGGTCTTGCATATCTGTAATTCCAGCAGAAGCAGTGCTAGGAGGATCTCCAGTTGGGAGCCAACCTGTGATACATAGGAAAACCCTGTCTCAAAAACAAAACAAAAGAAAGTGCTCTGAGTGGCGGGTGGCTCATGCCTCTAACAGTAGCTACTCTGGAGGATCATGGTTAGAAACCTGACCTGGATAAATAATTCACCAGTTCCTATGTTGAAAATACTCAACACGATAAAGGACTGGCAGAATGGCTCAAGCAACAAGAGCTCTTGCCTAGCAAGAGTGAGGCTCTGAGTTCAAAACTCAGTACCGCCAAAAAAAAAAAAAAAAAAGAAGAAGAAGAAAGAGCTCTGCAGGAATTGTGACATGGCCTCAAGTTCAGTAGGGAAAGAGGAAGTCATGTTTAAGAGCCAGAAAGCCAACCTGGCCTGGCGTGGGGTCACATGAAGTAGAGCAGAGGAGGCCGCTGAGCCCCAGGGCCCACTGCCTGACCCCAGCAGCAGGCGCTGCTGAGAGTGAGCCTCATTCCGTGTAGGGCTGCAGCCTAACTTCCCCGGGATGAGGGACACTCCTGGGATTGGGTGCTGCCAAGTTCTCCCCCCCCCCCCGCCGTGAGACTCAGGGTTGGGACATGAGATCATTCGAGTGAAGAGGGCAGCTCAGTGTACTGGTAAAAGTGGGGCTGTCAGCGTTCTACTTTGCTTCTAGCAGTCTCAGTTTCCTCCCCCCTGTAGAATAGGGTACCAGAAACCACTGCAGCCTATCCTGAAGATTAAATATTTTAAATATTCTAAGCATTGGGAAAATTCTCATCTCTCCATAGCCCTTTCTGGTGGGGGCTTCATGCGGTGATGACACAGGAGGAAACTGACGCAGCTGATGCAGGGCTAACTTCGCCAGGCGCACAGCCTTTGTGTGGCTCCGCGAGGAGTGCGCGCCTGGGCTGGCCCTGCTCCGCTGTCCTCCGCCAGAGGCCGCAGGGTGGCCGCGCGGTGCACACGCCCCGCCCGCCCAGCCGTTGTCCCCAAGTCCTTGCTCTCTCAGCGCCGGCTCCCGCCCCCGCCGGCCGCGACCGCCAAGCCCCACCCACATGGCCCCAGCCCCGCCTCAGATCTCCCAGAAGGCCCCGCCTCCACCAGAAAGCCCGGGCCTTGTCCCTGCTGGGCCCAGAAGGCCCTGCAGTCCCGCAGATCCCTGCGGGTCAGGAGGATTCCGCGAGGCCGCAGCCATGAGTGTCCCCGCCGCCAGCCCGCTCTTCGCGCCCGGCGAGGACTGCAGCCCTGTGTGGCGCGCGGCGCCCGCGGCCTATGACGCGTCTGACACACACCTGCAAATCCTGGGCAAGCCAGTGATGGAGCGCTGGGAGACCCCCTACATGCACTCGCTGGCGGCCGCCGCCGCCTCCAGAGGTACCCCCTCCTGGACGGACGGCGCGAGGCGCGGGGTAAACCGAGGCTGGGGTGTCCAGACCCAGGGACGCTGCAGGCGGCTGACTGGTCGATGAACACCTGCGCCTCTCTGTGCCTCAGTTTCCTCGCCTGGGGAATGGGACTGCCAGGGGGCAACAGAAACAGTAGAGGGGAGTGTTGCAGCAACAGGCGCCTGCTTGGGACGGGGGAACTTCGTCTCCTGGGGAAACACGCCCTAGTCCTGGAGCTGGGTCTTCTAACGTGCAACCTGAGGTGGAAATCAGGGGGGCGGCTCCCCATCTGTGGCCAGGCTGCCCAGAACTGGGGTAGGTTCCGCCCCACTGTGGCTAAGAATAGCTTGAGAAAGCTGAGCAAGGACGCAGCTGTCCTTTCGGTGGCCCTGTAGTCTCCGGTGTGGGAGCCTGGGGTTCCCCAGTACTAAGTGAGTCTCTCCAAAGACTTGTGGCCTGTGGCCTCTGGACGTTGGTGTTCCAACTTGGTAGATGGGCACATGCATTGTCCCATGCAAAGCCTTGCAGAAAGGGGCCTCCACCATGTGGTTCAGAGGGAAACGGCCCCTTCCCTCCCAGATGGCTGCAGGTTCCAGGTCCCAAAGCCAGGCCTTGCCCTTGCAAACCCCATGGTCAGCAGGGAAAGAAGGGGACAGAAAAGTAACCAACTGGAGAGATAAGGGTCAACAGCACAAACAGCGTGGGCAGGGGCTCAAAGTCCAATGCTCTGGCCCCAAAAGCTACTGCTTGGCTGGCCACCCTGTTTGGCTGCTGGCCACGGCCCACACTATTCCCTTCTCAGGATTGCGGTGTTCTGTCCACCTACAGTGCCCTCCTAGCTAGATGTCACATGGGGCAAATGTGACTCACAGCCAGGGTCCCGCCCCTGTGTCCCTTCCATTGGCAGTTCCCCAAACTGGGGCCCACTCTAATGCTTGGCGCCCTTTGTCCTCCAGGGGGCCGGGTCCTGGAGGTGGGCTTCGGCATGGCCATTGCAGCCTCGAGACTGCAGGAGGCCCCCATCGAGGAACACTGGATCATCGAGTGCAATGATGGCGTCTTCCAGCGGCTTCAGGCCTGGGCCCTGCGGCAGCCACACAAGGTGCCCTGTGCCTGCAGGCCCAGCCTGGGGGCAGAGGCCTAGCTTCTCAGAGGGGGCAAGGCCTTGGGCAACATGGGGTGGGGTGGGGTAGGGGTGGTCTCCTCTGGGAGTCCCCCTGCCCCTCCCTTTCAGTAGGTGGGGAGACAGTGGGGTTCTCTCTGACCCTCAGCCCTCTCTCTTGCTCTCTCCTTTCCAAGGTCGTCCCCTTGAAAGGCCTGTGGGAGGAGGTGGTGCCTACGCTGCCGGACAGTCACTTTGACGGTGAGGAAATATAAGCCCAGTAAGGGGGACCTGCTGGCCTTCCAGCTCCAATCTGGGGACTTCTGCTTGCAATGACAGTTAGCCCCTCCTTTGCTTGTGGATGATTTTCTAAACACATCCTCTGATGTGTGCTTGGGGACAGAGCATGGGGAGGGGGCAAGGACATACAAGGGCACATGCATAAATAAGCACACATACACAGGGCCTGGAACACAGGAACTTAATTGGACTGTGGAGAGGCGGCACTGAGTGTCAAGGGCAGCTCCAGGGCTCAGACCCACCTCACAGTGCAGCCTCTGAAGCTCTGGGGCCAGCGAAGTGAAGCTGGGCAAGGCAGTGGTGACCCTGACTGGCAGGCTTGTGTCCTCTTGCAGGTATCCTTTATGATACGTACCCCCTATCGGAGGAGACCTGGCACACACACCAATTCAACTTCATCAAGGTAGGACACAGTGCCCTGGGCACTGTCAGCAGATGGACACCTCTCCTTCCACTTCTTCCTCTGACTTGCTGGGGTGTGGGGCCCACACTGCGCACACCACAGTGCCTCCCTCCTGATCACCGAACCTGTCCTCAGAACCACGCCTTCCGCCTGCTGAAAGCTGGAGGTGTCCTTACCTACTGCAACCTCACCTCCTGGGGGGAACTGATGAAGTCCAAGTACTCAGACATCACCACCATGTTTGAGGTGCGATCACCTGGGACCTGCTGATGGGCTTTACCCCAAAGCCCAGCAGTGACCTTGGGGGTGACTTGGGGAGGACCTCTTTGTCTCACAGGCATCAGGGGTTGAGCTCTGGGGTGGGTTGGGCTGTGTTGTGACTTTTCCACTGAGAAATCAGGCAAGGTCTGGGCTGGCAGAGTGGCTCAAGTGGTAGAATGCCTACCTAGCAAGTGTGAGGCCAAGTTCAAACCCCAGTGCCACCAAAAAAAAGTAAAAATCAGGCAAAGTCTGAACAGCACTACCACTTCCCATGTTTCCCCAGTACCCTCCTTCACCTTTTCAGCTATGCTTTTTTTTTCTTTTTTGGAAGTACTGAGGCTTGAACTCAGGGCCTTGAGCTTGCTACCAATGTGCTCTACCATTTCAGCCATGCCCCCAGCTCTTTCTGCTTTAATTTTTCAGGTAGGGTCTCTCATTTTTGCCCAGGGCCTGCCTGAACCTCTTATCCTCCCACATAGCTGTGATCACAGGTGGGAACCACCATGCACAATTTGTTAAGATGAAGTCCCACTAACCTTTTGCTCTGGGCTGGCCTTAACCTTGATCCTTCTGATCTCCACCTCTCAAGTAACTGAGATTACAGGCATGTACCACTGCTCTGGGCCTAGCTATGCTTATTTCTGAGCTGCTGTCCTAAAAGCCCACAGAGGTCTTCTGAGAGCCTACTGGTGCCAATAGAGCAGCTGCCTTCCAAAATGTGAGTTAGCTAGCAGCCTACATGTCCTTTTCTGTCCTGGTTCTTCTGCTCTGGTACACACTGATGAAGGCAAGAACAACCTGCCTGGGCATTCCATAAGTGGGCTTGAGTGCCTCAGTGTTTTGGGACATTGGTCTGAGACTGACTGGCATTTGAAAACACCCAGGGGCCGAGGAAACTGCTGCCCAAGGCTAAAGGATGGAGATTGTCACCCACAACCAGGCTGTGTCCCACATGCCTCCACGGTGTATCCCCCATACCTTTGAGCTCCTAATATTGTAAGGTGTGGGTGTCATGGGTGTGGTAAGGCCCCCAGTCCTGGTTGACTTGAAACCCCTCCCCACAGGAGACACAGGTGCCGGCACTGCAGGAAGCAGGCTTTCGGAGGGAGAACATCCGTACCCAAGTGATGACGTTGATCCCGCCTGCTGAATGCCGCTACTATGCCTTTCCGCAGATGATCACGCCCCTGGTCACTAAGCAGTGAGCTGCCTCCCTGGGTCTCTGGACCAGCTCCTCTGTGCCCCTACTCAGTGCCTTTGTGGCTGACAGCAGGATCTGGCCTCTCAACTTGAGTTGTCCCGACTGTGACAGTGGACAACCTTCCTAAGTGCTGTGGGGGGGGTCCGCTGCCTCCCTAGGGTTCCAGGGTGAAATAAACACTGATACTGGCCTGGCCAGTCAGCAGTGTGTGAGCAGTGCAGCCTGCAGTAGGCCTCTTGGGGGCTCTCCGCCTTACTTTCTGCCCTGCTCCGAGCAGCCATCTAGTCCATTACTGATGCCTCCCTATCCCCCCAGCCAGGGTGTGGGGGACTGTCCTCGGGGACACTCAGCTCAGTCCTACACACCTCAAGTGGGGTCATTTGTAATACTTTGTCCCACCACTGCAAATCTCCATTTCCAAATTTCTTGCCTGGCTCCCGAAACCTTGCCTTGCCCATCTGATCACTCTGGGGTTGTCATCCTGTCTGTAACCAGCTCTTGGACCTCTTCATTCACATCCAGACTGTCTGCAGGTGCCCCCACTGTCAGGGCCCCTCCTGATCACCCTTTTTCAGCCCCACCCTAAACATAAGGCCAGGCAGCAGGCTCTGCATTCAGGGCCAGAGGGAAGTCATTCCACCTGAATGTCGATCTCACTGCAGCATGGTTTTGTTCTGAGCCATGCCCTGGGTTTGGGCTGGGTGCCCAACCCTCCCCTAGTGAGCTGGAAATCCCTCATTGCAGTACTAACCAGTGTTAACTGCCCCTGGTGTGTAGCAGGCACATGCCTTGGATTTGTAGAATCACAGTCATAGGAGGACCAGATGTTTGTTCAATGAATACATGACTGAGAGCAGACTCTACAGTGTGGAAGCCCTTGCTCAAGATCATCAGGCTAGGAGAAGGTAGAGCCATAGGTCTCCCCACAGCCCTAAGGGCAGGTGGGAGGCCATATGCATGCCCCAGGTGCTCAGTTGTAGGCTGGGAGGATAGGCTGTCATCAGTCACTCTGGACTGAGAGGGAGACTGAGCCAGAGCTTCTAGCTTTCTGTTCCCCAAAGCCAGCTCAGCTGGGTGACTGGGCCAGGTGGTTCACCTCCAGGGCCTAGTGTCTTCATCTACAGAATAGGAGAAGGAACTCAGTGGGCATGGACACCAGAATCCACTTGCTTCCCTTCCTCCACACTCCACATGGCACAGTATGGTGGGCTCCAGGACTCAGGCGGGTTTACTACAGATTTATTCACAATCTCAGGGATGGCAGTGCCAGTGGCACTACCTGCGGTACCAGATCTTCAGTCTCTTCTCCCGTTTGATCTTCCTCTGCAGCTGCAGGATGCCATACAGCAGAGCCTCGGCCGTGGGTGGGCAGCCTGTGGGGACCCGAGTGTCTGTTCCTCCCTGTACCTCAGACTGCCCCTTTCCTCCACTGTTCAAGTCCCTCCCAAAGGTCTGCAAGGTGCAGAGGCCCAGGGGCCAGGCAGCCCCATACACTTCCCTGAGAGCTATCCCTGTTCAGCTGTTTGCCCTCCCTCCTACCCCCTTCTGCTCAGCAGGCTCAGTCCAAAGGGCTTGATCAGGGCAGCAGAACAGGCCAGATGAGGGCAGGACAAGTGGAACTACCAGGAGACCCTGGAGCTCTGGCAGGTCATGTCTGTTCCCTCAGTTGGCACTGCTGGGGAGGTCAGGGACCTTGAGCCCCTGACCCAGACAACACCGCTTAGCACAGAATGCCAAACAAATCAACACACTTTTCCAGTGAACCCTAACCCAACATGAAACCTCTCTCTGCCTTCTGGGAGGGGCCAGTACACAACTTCCATTTTTCTGGGTGACTGGGATCTTGCTCATGAACATTCCCTAATTCTCTGGAGACCCAGGTTGGGCTCTCAGCCACTGCACTTAGGCCACAGTGCAAGACTGAGAAGTGGGCACCTCTGACCCCTGTCCCCAGCAGGAGCTCTGTTTCCTAACCCTGCTGACCACTGTCCACCAGTAGGGCAAACACCCTGGGAGGTTCCCCTTTGGTGCCAATCTGTCAGGCCCACATTGCCAGGCTTGCTAGGACCTTGTGAAGAGAGCGATCCCTCAGATCCCCAGGTCAAATAAAGGAAGGCCAGTGAAATGTGAATTCCAGATAAAACCAATACTCATGTGTAAGTCTATCCCCAATGCTGTATGGGACAGACTTACCCCAAAATAATATATTAGTCACTATTGTGACTGTCAGTTAACTGAGTGTCCAGTAATGGAGAACCTCCCACAAAAGAAGGCCAGGCCTGAGGCCTCGCTGCAACTTGTGGGCCTAAGTGGGAGAGATGAGGGCCCAGTCTCACCTGGCACGTAGATGTCCACGGGCACGATGCGGTCGCAGCCCCTCACAACGGAGTAGGAGTAGTGGTAGTAACCGCCTCCATTAGCGCAGCTAGAGGAGAAGGTGCAGTAAGAGTGGCTCAGCTCAGTGCAGCCTACTCTCCCAACCTCTAGGCCTCACCCTGCCCCCAGCCTGCCTCCAATGCTAGCAGGGGACTGGCTGTCAGAAAAGGCGATCCAGACTCAACATTGCAGACAAGCAACCAGCAGAGCAAACTGGCTTCCTGGAACCTTCTGTGTGATAGGTTGTAGCACAAGGAAGTATGTGGCTGATGAACACTGAAGAATTCACCATCAAGAGGGACTTTTGGGGCTAGGCGTCAGTGGCTCACACCTGTAATCCTAGCTACTCAGGAGGCAAGAGATCAGGAGGATCAAGATTCTGAGCAAAAAGTTCTCATCAGACCCTATCTTGAAAATACCCAACACAAAACGGCTGGTAGAGTGGCTCAAATGGTGAGACCCTGAGTTCAAGCCCCAGTACCGCCCATTAAAAAAGAAAAAAAATATGGGCTTCTGATGACCAATTTCTGAGGCTCAGACACGTGGGATCCAAAGACTCAAACAAAAAGCACCTTCAAGCAGCAAAGACTGCCAAGGACAAAGCTCCAGGCCACAGGTCAAAACCTTTAACCCCCTCCCTCTCAGCTCCAGTGAGTGAGGCTGCTAAGGGTCCACCCAGGCCAAGAAGCAGAAACGCCCATGTAACTTCTGTGCCACACTGCACATTGTAGATGTAAAGAGGGAAACAACCTGAATATCAGTAGGTAGGGACTAAGCAAACTCTAGAATGTCCTACAGCTTCAAAACTAGGTTGGTAGTCCATCCACACAATGGGATGTCATTCAGCTATGAAAAAAAAAGAAAGGTTCTGAACATGCTACAACATGGAGGGGCCCTAAGGACACTGCTCAGTGAAAACCGGACACAAAAGGCTGCACAGTGTGTGACTCCATTGATAGGAAACATCCAGAAAAGGAGAATCCAAAGATGGGAAGTAGATTTGTGGTGCCGGGGACTGGGGAGGGAACAGGGCTATTTGGAGAGAAAAAATGTTCTGGAACTTGATAGTGACGACAGTTACACCTCTCTGACCAAATCTAAGTCACCGAAGTATGCACTTTAAAAGGTTGAACTTGTAGGTGGGGGGCAGGGGGAAGAAATGGTCCAAACAATGTATGCACATATGAATTAAATAAATAAATAAATAAATAAATTTACTATCAGGAAAAAAAAAGGGCTGAACTTTATAGTATGTAAATTCTATGGTAACAACAACAAAAAAAGTGGCTAAACAGTTTTTAATGAGATGGAGAGATCGCTATACAGATGGGAAGATGCAGCCTATCTCCCAGGCAATGTGGCTTCTACGTTCACGAAGCAGAGAGCCAGGGAGAATGAGTGGCCTGCTGCCTGGGCCGGGGTGGACAGGGGGAACATCCTAGGGGCAACATTCTGTGGTGGCAACTCTATACACAGGCCCCCAGAGGAGTCGAGCTGAGAGTTGTCACCCGGCCACTGACTGCATTTCTACTGAACGTAAATTACTCCAGGGAAAAGTGTGGGCACTGGAAGGCTCCTGCATGGCACTTACCTCCCCATGGATACAACATAACGAGGCTCTGGCATCTGGTCATAGACCTGGAAGAGACACAGGGTGTAGGGTCTACAGGTGGCTTGTGCCTGGGTCAACTGGCTGGGCAGGGACAAGGCCTACCTTGCGGAGTGCCGGGGCCATCTTGTTGGTCAGTGTGCCGGCCACGATCATCACATCAGCCTGGCGTGGGCTGGCACGGAAAACCACACCAAAGCGGTCCATGTCATAGCGGGGTGCTGCCATATGCATCATTTCCACAGCACAGCAGGCCAGGCCAAAGGTCATGGGCCATAAAGAGCTCTGTGGGACAGGCACTCAGGTCACATGTAGCCCACACAGGTTTCATGTAGAAAAACTTAGGTTTTTAGCCTCACTTGCAAGAGGATCACCTAGCTACTTTATTAAGGACAGCAGTCATGTTAAGAATGCTAGTCCTTGACACATGTGAGGCTTTGGCTACTGAGAATGAGCTTGCTGCCCGGCAGAAATGCCAGGCTAGCTATGCCAGCAGGTCAGTACCCCAACCCTGGTACACTCTATATCCCATGGGCACCAGCCAGATGTGGCCAGTGGGAGGATGCAGGTCTAGACCCTGGGACTGTGCATGTCCCAGTCCCATCCCCAAGCCAGCTGGGGGGGGGGTTGGGGTGGATAAAAGGTACTATACCTTCCAGAACCACATGTTGGACCCGTCCCTGACACTCCTGGGCCAGCTGAGTGCCACTCCTCCAGGAAACCCATTGGTTCTCCAGCTGCCCCACCATTTCCTACATCTGTTAGTGCTTTGTTCTCCCTGCTCACTCTTTCTTGGCTCTGAGACCCAGAAGTGGCCCTTGCGCCTTGCAGATGTGGGTGCACAGTGAGCAGTAGGGCCTGGGCTATACAGCAAAGAAGAGCCAGCCCACAGCCATAGCTGACATCTGTAGCTGGACAGATGTCCAACCCTGTGTCCCTGTAGCAGGCATTCTGTCTTGGCAATGCAGGGTTATCATGAGGACACTGAGCACAATGCAAACAAAGGCAGAGGCATGTGGACATCCATTAATGGGCGATTGTTATACTTGGGCTATCATAGCTGAATGCTGCCTAGTGCTGTGAAGCTCAACACCTGGGTGTTCACACACTGGAAGGGCGCACAGCACAGGACTGCCATGTGGTGGCTGCAGGAGAGGGAGGTTTACTGAGAAGGACCTATAGCTTCAGCATTCTTGATTGTTCTAACAAAAAATTATGTTTTACAGGAACCAGGTATGATGGTGCATACCTCTAATCCCAGCTATTTGAGAGGCAGTGGTGGGAGGACCTTGGTTCAAGACCAGTGTGGGAAAAAGCACAAGATCCTATCTGAAAAATAACTAAAGCAAAAAGGGCTGTGGGGCATGGCTGAAGTGCTAGAGTGCCTGGGTAGCAAGCACAAAGTCCTGAGCTCAAACCCCAGTATGCCCCCATACAAAACAAAATATTAGCCAGGTGCCGGTGGCTCATGACTGCAATCCTAGCTACTCAAGAGGCAGAGATCAAGAGGATTGCAGTTCGAAGCCAGCCTGGGCAAATAGTTTCCAAGACCTATCTTGAAAATACCTAACAAAAAAAGGGCTGGTGGAGTGGCTCAAGGTGTATGCCCTGAGTTCAAGCCCTGGTGCCGCAAAAAAAAAAAAAAAAAAACCCCAAAAAAACAAAAAAAAACTTTTACATTAGAAGAGAAAAAAGAGGTACATGCAGAGGTAGGAAAAAAACTAGAGAAGGGACAATGTCCTCCCTGGGGCTGAGAGGCAGGCGAGGAGGTAAGGCAGGAGCTCTGTGTCAGTGACTGGGGTGGGAAGAGAGGATGGGGAGAGAATATGAGGAATTCCAACATGGAACCACAAGTGTGAAGAAGTCTCCAAAAGAGCCCAGCCTACTCCTTAAGCTATGGGAGTGGATGCACATGCACATGTGGCAGATATGCATGTGCAGCAGCCTGCATAAAAAAGCGACATGTGCATGTGCTCAGTGGGTATGTGAGAGGCCCCAGAAACTATGGCAGAGCACAGGGACTCACCCGGCGGGCCCAGTTGACGAGGTCATCCAACTTGGCCACTACATACTCGCCTCGGCTCCTAGGAAGGTCGGCGGATTTGGGGACCACGGCTCCGGCCTTTAACACGGAAGGCTGGGTGCTGAGTGCAGTAACACAGGCATGGTTGGTGTGAGCAAGGGAGGCACCCCTAGGGGTGGGTTCTGACCCCTCTTATGGCCCCTGTGTGTGGGGAAACAGCCTATAGCAGCTGCCCAGAGACAGGGACAGAGATGTAGCCACAGCCAGGGGCCTGGATCAGGACCCTCCCAACAGGCAAAGGAAGGAAAGACACCACTCCAGGGGCTCTGGAGATAAGCTGTCAGAAGTTGGGATCCATTGGGACAGGTTGGAACCAGGATGCAGTATCAGCATAGCTGGTGAGGGAAGTGGAGAAAGAGGAAAGGGACTGGGGTGTGTGGCCTCCTGAAGGCCAGCCTACCTGCTCGGGCACACAGTAGCCACACTCTGATGGACACCACGTGCCTGTACAGCTGTGCCCACACTGGAGCTGCCCAGGAGATGGACTGAGGGTCAATGGTCATCCATGAGTATACTGGCTGCTCCCCTCTCCCATCTAACCTTCCCACCCTACTGCAGAGCCTCTTGCTCCTCTGTCCACCAGCCCCCATTCTCTCAGACCACTGGCCAGAGTCCCCAGATCCCAGTGGCCATCTCCTAGCCCTGATAATGCTGTAGACTTTTAAGTTTCTTCTGGGATGTACACCATCAAGGATGGCTCTGAGACCCAGCTCTCCGTGTCTGACTAAGGGGTTCGGCAGCTCCCCTGATGATCAGTCCTCACAGCTCTGCTTAAGTCACAAGGAGGATGGCAACCAGTGGCCCAGATTCACAGGATGCTTTGCTGAGATGAAAAGTGAGCTGAGAGAACCAAGCCAGGCAGACGAAGGTTGAGTCTTGACTTTGCCAGCCTTTGCTGCGCCATGGCTAAGACCAGAGCCCTGTCACTGGCTGACCTTCATTAAGCAGTTCCTGCTTGTTGCTGCTGAAGGGCCCTCCTGACTCTGAGCCTTGCTGCACCCTCCCAGCCTGTCAGGGCCTCCCCACAGGCAGTCAGGCACTTACCGCAGGCCCAGGATCCGGATACAAAACAGGCCAGGAGCTGCAGAAAGAACCACAGGGGTGGAGCCTCCGGTGGCACCAGATGCCAGCAACTCTCTGAGTCCTAGGCCCAGCCTCCAGGTGTTTTCGTCAATACCCTTCTGGCAGGTTCTCTGTCTCATATCCACTTAATCCCAGACTCCACATCAAGGCCACCCTCCCCCTTCTTCCTGTATGTCCACTCATTCCTGCCTCAGGGCTCTTGCACCTGGTGTTCCTTCTGTCCCACATTTGCATGTAGCTGATGCCTTCTCATGGAGCAGATTTCAACTCACATGACTGGGGCATCAGGTCCTACCAGGTCCTCTGGATCTTGGTGCTCATTCAATCTCTGTCTTGTGCACTGATATGCTGCCTGTCTCTCCCATGACACCAGAGCCTCCCTAGGTTCTAAGCACCATCTTGGCCTTGACTGGGCCTGACATACAATGTGTGTGATGCTCCAGGCTCTGGGCTGGAGCTTGAGGGGTTCAAACCCTGCCCAGCACAGTTCTGACCTCTGGTGGACAGCAAATGCACTGTCCATATCAACCTCCCTAGCCAAGTGTCCCCAAGAACTAACTGCAAAGGAAACACAAGAGAGTGTGCTCCAAAAAGAGGCTTCCCTGGAGAACCTTCTTGGAGGAGCAGCCTAAAGCACGACAGAGAGACAGGAGAGTCAGCCTGGAGGTGTGAGAGATCCTGATGAAAAAGGAACAGCCAGAGGCCAGGACTGAGGCACATCCTGGGCTGAATTATGTCTCCCCAAGTGTATATGTTGAATCCTTAACCTTGGAATGGTACCTTGGAATGTGACTGTTTGGGAACAGTCTCTATAGAGGTAATAAAGGTTCTAAGCCAGTCCGGGCTAATAGTTGGTGAGGCCCTATCTCAGGAAAAAAAAAAAAAAAAAAGACATTATCTGAAAAATAACTAAAGCAAAAAATGGCTGAGGGTGTGGCTCAAGTAGTAGAGAGCATGGGTAGCAATCTGAAGGCCCTGAGTTCAAACCCTAGTAGCAACAAAAAAATCAAACAAAATTAAAAAACCAAAAACAATCCAGGCGTGGAGGCACACGCCTATTTTTTTTTTTTTTTTTTGGTGGTACTGGGGCTTGAACTCAGGGCCTCACCTTCAGCCACTCCACCAGCCCAATTTTTTGTGACAGGGTTTTTTCTAGATAGGGTCTTGCAAACTATTTGCCTGGGCTGGCTTCAAACTATGATCCTCCTGATCTCTGCCTTCTGAGTAGCTAGGATTACAGGCATGAGCCACTGGTACCCAGCAAAGCCTATGGTCTTAACTATTCAGGAGGTAGAGGCAGGAGGATCATGGTATGAGGGTGGCCTGGGCAAAAGAATGAGACTCTATCTGAAAAACAAAATAAAAGCAAAAGGACTTGGGCTGATAGAATGGCTTAAGTGGTAGAACACCTGCCTAGCAAGCATGTGGCCCTGAATTCAAACCCCAGTATGACCACATGAGGACACAGAAAAGATAAGCATCTATAAGCCAAGGAGAATCTCATCAAAGAGCACCAGCCTTTCAACAGTTTGATCTAAAACCTCCAGTTTCCTGGCTGTCCCATCTGTGGCAGCCCCTGCAAATTAATCCAGGCCAATGGGAAGTGGGGCTGAGAGAGAGGATGTTGTCACACTGCCTCCAAGGCCACATCCAGAGCAGCTATGCCTTCTATGTGGAAACATAGCCTTGTTCCCTCTGTAGGCCCCTCCTCACTTCTGTCTCAGCCACAGAAAGTGTCACCAAGGACATGGGTGTGACCTACTTCTTGGCAGGTCTAAGGTTGGGCACAAAGACAGCCCCAGACTCCTGCATTTCGCCACCTGAAAACGGAGGGCCTTGAATAAGCTCGCAGCAAAGCAAATGCCCTTCTGAGTGCCTCTGAGGTAATAGGGTCTCTACACCTCTGGACCAGACTTTCTTTTTTAACATACTTGCTATGGATCTCGCTGTACTGCACAGGCTGGCCCTGAACTCCTAGTCTCAAGAGATCTTCCTGCCTCAGCTTCCTGAGTAGCTGCGCTCATAGGTAAGCACAGGACACCTGGCTTTGGACCAGGCTGTTTGACAAAGGGCTGCTGGTGAGAATTCAGAACTATGAACTTACACAGAAAAATAAGCAAATAAACTTTGTCGTTGTCACCAAGATCTAATTAGCCTTTCACTCAATTCTGAGCATAGGCAACAAAACAGCCATATTGACCTTCCTAACCATATTACTGAGGCAACAGAACCCCAATCAGAGCCTTCCAGTCTACATGACTTCAAAACCACAGGTGTAGTTAGACCTCCCCCAAAGCTCCCGCTATGTATTAATAACATTGTCACTTAGATGACTAAGCCACAGCCAGAGGTGAAACAATGTTTGATAATTGTCTTTCTGCATACTGGATTTCCTTGGCCATCCTAGGGACTGTATTTCAGGTCTTTAATCACTTTATCAGAGGAGGGGTCTGAAGGCTTGGCCCTGGAACAGGACGCCATGAGACACTGACCTCCTCTTCGTCCTAGGGTGGATGAAGGCAGTACAGGAAGGGAGAGGCGGGTGGGTAGCTTAGGTCCCATACCTGCCGAGTCTCTCTCTGGACCTTTGAGGTTTTGCTAAGGGTCTGTTTCCAACCCTGTCAGGTGGGTGCACGCCCTGCCCTACTCTATCCCGCTGCTTCAACAGCAGCATCTTGGGCCTTGCTCTGGTCGCAGGGGGCCTTTCCCGGGGCCTGTTTCCCCAACTGTAACCTGCTCCAACAATGAGAGGCCGTGCTTCATCGCAGGCTGAGCTGGAGCCCGAAGAGGGCCAGCGTGAATAGGTCCGAAGCGCTCCTCCGCTTCCCTCGAGATTCCACTCCTGTCCTTGAAGACCTACTAGCCCCGTTCGGACTCGCTGCCTTCCCTCACCTCGGGTCCTGCACTCCGACGTTCCCAAGGCCTCTATCCTTTAAAGCCCCCCCAGATTCAGACCCAGTCCCGACCGTGACACACCCGGGCGACCCGACCCCGGTCACCAATACAAGGTCCATACTCACCCGACAGCGACGCCATCTTGGCCGCGGCCTTCAGACAACCTCTGCGGTCCGTCCTCCTTAGAGCGCCGGGTCACAGGGGCCTTCGCTAAAGAGGCTCGGCGTGCGTGCGGAAACCGGACCCGGGACCCGGTGTTCCGCCTTCGTGGTCGTGGTCGTGCCCGCGCCGAGGGTTCACTAGAGCAAGGTAAGAAAGACATAGGAATGAGGATGGCAAAAACAAAAGCTCCATTCGTTTCTTTTAATCGTGGGAATCAAAACCGTACCTTTGCGTCCCTGGGTGGGCTCGAACCACCAACCTTTCGGTTAACAGCCGAACGCGCTAACCGATTGCGCCACAGAGACAAGGCTGCGAAGGGTGTTTAAACGGAGCTCTACTAGGGCTGTACAGCCCGGGCAAATGAAGTGAATTGCGCCTGCGCGGCGGCCGGAGCAAGGCGGCGCTGGAAATGGAGTAACTTCGACTGCCTGCCGAAATAGCTCTGTCGGGAGCGTGTTAAACTGAAGATATAAAGGTCCCTGGTTCGGTCCCGTGTTTCAGCAGGACATTTTGCGTTCTAGGATGTCACCCCATTGTGCAGACCGGGGAGCTAGGACCACTCCAAACTCCTCTCCCAGAACTCTATGATGCTAGCCTAAACTTTCTCCTCAATTCTATTTTCTATGTTTTTGTGATGCTGGGGATTAGTCGACCCAGTATTTTTTAAGTTAGTAGGGCTAAAACTGGTTCTGCTTATCAAATCTAATCATTGTTTGGCCGGTGGGCAGCCACCCCATGGCGATCAGGGACTCTCTGCTCACTTTCCACTCCATCCCCTCCTTCCCTTCATGGTTACCAGGGCAACTCTGGCGCGCAGCAATTAGAGGCTTCATGATTACCATGGCAACTCCTGCTGGCAGGCAATGGGTCCTGACCTATCCTACAGATCCATATTACCCCGAGCTCCTCCCCACCAAACCTCGACCTATCCCTGATGCCCCATAATACCTTAGGCTCTTGACTTCACCCAGGCTATAAAAAAACTGGGCTGCCATTTCTCCGGCACGACTTCTCCGGCCCTGCTCTTTGGGAACGGTGAACCTCGCCCGAGAGCGCGCTCTCAATAAAGCCTACTTAAAGCCTGCTTGCTTTGTTATTTGGTTCCAATTTGGCCTTCCCATCAGCGTCGACCTAACAATAATAAACACCCAAATTACCAAAAGAGAGTGCAAAATGCACTTAATTTTAACAATTCTACAGGATATGTTCTACCGCTTTTAGCAATGGGGGACCTAAGGCACCAGCAACACAGGCCTCCTATTGAGGACACTCCAGGCATTTATTAAATTCCTATGAGGTGCTGGGCAACACCAGCCGTGGCCTCTGCTCTTTAGGGCCCTCCAGCACTGGGGTGGAGGTGAAAGGCAGGGGGCAGAGGCACCAGTGTGTATATATGTGGGGGTGGGGGGGAGGGCGCTGTATTGCCCAGGCCAGGCATGGCCTTGAGAGTGGCAATTTATAGAAGAGGGAGATGCGATCTGGGCTGAGAACACTGCAAGGGGGCCTGAAATGCTAGCAGGTACACAAAGTATTTTCCTCTGTGGTTCTCAGGACTCACCCAGCTGGTGTGTTTTAAAAAATGTATTTAAATGAACTCTTTTAAAGTAACTTTAGAGTTACAGAAAAGTTACAAAGATAGTTCAGAGAGAGCCTGTGCAGGCCACACCCAGTTTCCTGTGAACTGAATTTGATGTTAATGGAATACATGTGTCACCCTTATTGATCCATCATTAACTAATGCATGTTTACTCGGGCTTCCTGGGTTTTCCCTAGTGTCTCCCCAACAGTTCATGTGCTGGAAATGTAATCCCCAAAGTCCTATGTTGATGTTTGGAGGCGATGAGGTCAGGAGGGGTCCACTTCATGGCATTAGTAACTTTATAATAAGGGGGGGGTAGGGTGTGGCTTGGTGGGGGGGCATCCTTGGCATTTGAGAGGCCCTGAGTTCATCCCTAGCACTGCAAAAGAACAGGGAAGAACATGCTTGCTCTGCCTGACCGTGTGATTTCTGCTGCCATGTTATGGTGCGTCACAAGGCCCTCACCAGATGCCTGGCCTCCAGGGTTGAGAGAAATAAGTATCTTTTCATTATAAATTACCCAGTCTTGGTAATTCTGTTGAGTGACACAAAACGGAGTCTTCTTTCTGCCCCCTGGACCCCATGACCCCACATCACATCAGTCACCATGTCTCTTTGACTCCCCTAGGGGGTTACCAAGGACCATTGGGACGGACATGAGAACCCTGTGTGTGGGACTGGGGCAGGTGCTGCTCTCCAATGTCAGAGAGCATGTCAGAAGCTCACTGGTCAGGAAGAGGAGTGATTGAAAAGGAGTAGAGGCCTCACACCATCCCAGTACCAATGTACCATGTCCTGACAGAGGCACCTTGGGCCCACTGTAGCTTAGAGTCACCCTGAACTGCCCAGCCAAGCTGTTCTTGGAACACTGATCCACAAAAACTGTGACAAAGAATACTCTTGTCCACCACTAGGTTTTGAGGTAACGCTTCTGCAGTACTAGAGGCTAATTGATAAAGGGATTAGATGGAGAAAGGGATCAGGTGAACTGGGAAGGGGAGGAGCTGGGTGCTTGGGAACACCCAAAGAGGGGAGCCCATGGGAAGCAGGTGTGATGGGGGGAGTGGGATGGGAATGGAGAAGCAGAGGGCAAGAGATGGCTTCAGGAACAGCTGCATACCAGTAAGGACAAGGAGGGGCGGGAGGGGCGGGAGGGGCGGGAGGGGGCGGGGGGGGGGGAGGAAGAGGCAAGAGACACAGAGCTGTGGGCACACAGGCAGGGGCTGAAGATAATTCCAGCCACTCAGGTGTGGTTTTCTGTGCATGAGGTATAACTTTCCAGAATGTTGTGTGTGCTTAAGTAGGTTTAAACTTTTTTTTTGGTGGGACTATGTTTGAACTCAGGGCTTCGTGCTTGCAAAGCAGGCACTCTACTGCTTGAGCCACATCTCTAATCCATTTTGCTCTGGTTATTTTGGAGATGAGCCTCAAAGGCTTTGCCCAGGCTAGCCTTGAACTGCAAAACTCCTGATCCTAGCCTCCCAAGTAGCTAGGATTACAAGTGTGAGCCACTAGTGCTCAGTTGGTTTGCACTCTTGATGCAAGGTTCACGTGGTGGAATTCTCCACTCCCTTATACAGTGGCTGCACAGATGCGTCCTTACAGCTGGAAATTCCATTTTTTTGAACCATCTTGGGTTGCAACAACTAAAACTAACTTTATGAAGGGGACCCTAGTGACATGGGGATCTTCCTGGTTCTCTAAAGGGGTGGGAGGTCAGAAAGACAGCAATAGATGGCACCTGGCAGGTCTGGGGACAGGGGCTGGGAAACTAGATGGATGGACCAAGGGAGGGAGGGGGCAGAGGAGGCTTCAGAATCTGTTTCCACCATGGTGGAGGCAAAGGTGGGCAAGGGTTCAGTAGTTTATGGCATTCCAGGAGTCCCTGTATCTGGGGACATGTGTGGCTGTCACCACTGGGGAGCTCCTTGCATAGAGTGGATGGAGCCAGGGATACTACTTAGCACGCTGCCAGTGTCCAAGACGGCCACCCCAGAGAATGAACCAGTTCTGGTGTCCACAGTGCCAAGGGGGGAGAGCCAGGTACAGGGTGACATGGGACCCATGGAGAACCATCAGGTGGAGGAATATAAACCCCTAGGCACAAAGGCAGCTATGTGGGCGGATGTGGGTAGGTCACAACTGGCCTTTTGATGCCTCCAAAGCATCCTAGCCACAGTGGCCACTAAGGGTGCGCTTCTAGAACTTTCCTTACTGGGCATGCCAGTGAGGTTGACAGGCTCTGACTTGCTATCCTGCTGCACAATAGTCAATATGGGGCACAAACACCCTCCAGTGCCAAGGAAAATGCCCCCAAAGTGGCCTCAGGACAAATTTTAAACTAAGTATCTTCAACATCCATAAAACATGGGCCAAGAGGGAGGAAGTGAGGTAGGGTACTCCTGGACCCCTCCTAGAGCGTGCAACTGGTTTGGGTGTGTGTGCCTCTGGTCAGGTTTCCCCAATACACATGTATTCTTTTAGCTTGCACTCAAATATGCTAGCTTGAGAACCATCATGTTAGGGCAGCAACTCCAGTCCCAGAGATCAAGGCCCTATGTGCTAGGGACAGAATAAATAGGTCTCCATTTTCAGCCTGGGCCCAGGGGCCAATTCTCCTAGGTAGTGGTACATTCCCCATTGCAGACAGAATTTGGGGTATCTGAAAAGAAAAGCTAGGGTTCAGAAAAGGCATTTAATTCCAGTCTGAACAGCCAGACAATCTAATCCTTAGGACACAGTGAAGGTCGGCAGAAATAAAAGCCCAGGTATAAAAATACTTTGCACAACGGGAATTACACACACACACACACTCAGGTTCCATAAAATGTCCAACAGGTTTCTCATCCACCTGAATGCCATATGTTTGACATGGCCTTTGCTGGTAACCAAACAATACCAATGGGAAGTTCCAGGTCCAAGTCTACAGGGGGTGGCTGTTGGGTTTTCCCATTGAGGACAGTGAGGGTGCATTCTGGCATCAGTGCAGAGGCCCTTCCTCAGGGGTGCACAGAGGGGTTAAGCTGGCTCCCCTGTCTGAAGAAGAGGAGTGACCAGCACAGGGCTGGGCACCCAGAGATGCTTCAAGTCATGTTTCCTTTCCTTAGATGTGGAGCCCACGGAGGGGGGACCAAGGGAGGCAGAACCATCAGGCCAAAACCAACCTTGTATCACCACTTCCTCCTTTCAGATCTGAGCAAAATCAAGTTCAACCAAAATGGCCACGGGAAGTTCTCTGCACCCCATGTTAGTAAGCTGTGGCCACCTCCCTTCACCAGGCCCTGGAAACTCTTGTTAAGGAGATGTTGCTCATCCTGGGCTTCTCCTTGCTCCACACTACCATGCAGGCCACACTTATTTCACACCCTGCAGGAACCACCTTCTGATCTTGCTCCGAGGTGGCTGCTGTCCTCTGGGTAAGGAGGATGTTGGGAAAGAGATCTGGATCCCCTGCAAACCCAGGACCGCAGAAAGGACAGACATAACCAATAGGGGCAGAAACTAAAAATGACCAAATGACCACATCCAAACATGGCTCTGCAGCTGGGGAGGGATGTGCTTTTGATTAAAAGTTCACCTCATGTCACAATCTGAAAATTCATTTGACCAACGTTTATTTCCTCATGCAGCCTCAGGTGTCTTAGAATAAATTATTCACTGGTCTTCAGCCTTAACTTTGACAGAATCTTCACGACTGTGAGGAGGACATGGCCTTGGTGCAATGTCCCCAGGGCCACAGTGCTAAGAGTGCACCCTCAACCCAGGGCAGGGATGACCTGCTGGTCAGTGAGGGTCTGGTCCTCATATTGAGCCTGGCCCATGAGCCAGGTTGGAATCCCAGACAAAGGGCTTCATCTCTGCAGGTGCTGGGCGCAGGCAGAGCTGCAGTACCCCCACCCACACTGGGATCTCACTACAACTGTCCAGGTAGACTGCCAAGACCTTGGTGGTTGGCTGTATGGTGACAGCATAGAGCAGGGGACAGGGAAGCTGGGTGTGGCATCCAGTGTCTGGATTGCACGCCAACTCATTACCCTCTCAGGCCCATGCACAGAGGCCATGGGAAAGACATGCTGGAATCCCATAAGGAAGTGGCTTGCCTTTGGTTCCACCTCTCACCAAGACACTTTCCCTGCTCACCCCCCAGGAGGGACAGGGCAGATTCTACCCAAAGGGGACAGAACAAAAACAAGGTCAGAAAAATATACGGGTCCTTCTGGAGTTCTATATTCACTTCAGACTCTTTTGAATGCTGGGTACATGGATACAACACATAATGTAAAACACAAATGTGCATCTCTTATCAAACTATATAGTCACAATGGGGTATGCAATAAAATCTATTTGTTCTTTTAAAAACCTTTCAGAAAATTTTTTAAAAAATCAAAAACAACCTTTGAGGAACTGCACCTTCCAAAAATCGCCAGGAAGAGAGAGCTGCCTTTTGGTGTGTCAGTGAACTTGACTCTTCAGAACTGACAGACCCAAATACAACACACTTCCTGGGGCCTCTTGCTTTCCAGAGCATTCATGAACATCACATTGGAGGGGTTGAGGGGCATCCTGCAGCTGGGCTTCTTACTAACAGTGGGATACACACACTGGCCAAGTGGGGGCGCTGCAGGCCGCACCAGGGCGGTAGCTGCTCTGTCACCAGACACGCCGATTCCTCTCCTCCAGGAGCTGGTTATCGAATATTTCTTTTTCCCTTAAGAAAACAGAAGATGAAGCACATTTTAGTAATGAATCATTGAATTTTAAGGAGAAAGAAACAGGTGAGGTGGTGTCTAATGGGGGTAGTTTCAGTTGGGGAGATGAGAAAGTTCTGGAGATGGATGGTGGGGACAGCAGCACAGCAACGTAGATGCGTTGAATGCCACCGACCTGCACACTTACAGCAAATTTTAAGTTATGTGTATTTTACTATAATCTTCTTCTTTTCTTTTTGGTGGGACTGGGGTTTGAACTTGGCTTTGCACTTGCAAAGCAGGCAGTCTACAGCTTGAACCATGCCTTTATTCCATTTTGCTTTGGTTATTTTGAAAGTGGGTCTCAAGAACTATTTCCCCAGGCTGGCCTCAAACCTCAATACTCCCAATTGCAGTCTCCCAAGTAGCTAAGATTACAGGCATGAGCCACGAGCATCCAGCTCTTTTTGCTTTTTTTTATTGTGGTGCTGGAGCTTGAACTCAGAGCCTTGTGCTTGCTAAGCAGGTACTTTCTTTTTTTCTTTTTTAAATTTTTTATTATTTTTAAAAAATTTTTTATTTTATTCATAGTGTGCAAACAATGTTTGGGTCATTTCTCCCCCCTTCCCCCACCCCCTCCCTTACTCCCCCCCACCCCCTCCCTCTCCCCCCACCCCCTCCCTCTCCCCCCACCCCCTCGCTACCCGGCAGAAACTATTTTGCCCTTATCTCTAAGCAGGTACTTTCATACACATTTTTGCCTGGGCCAAGAATCTCAGACTCTCCTACCTAGGACCTCCTGTATAGCTGCTCCAACACACCTGGCTCATTTGTTGAGATGGGGTCTGGCTGAATTTTTGCTTGGGTTGGCCTGAACCTCAAGATCCTCCTGCCTCTACCTTCTGAATGCCAGGATTACAGGCATGTGCCCACCATGTCTGGCCATACTGTTTCTTTAAAAGTTATTATTTTTGCACAGGTACAGTGGCTCATGCCTATAATCACAACTACTTGAGAAGTGGAAATCAAGAGGATTGAGGTTTGAGGCTAGTTCAGTCCAAAGTTTAACAAGACCCATCTCAACAAAAAAAAAACTGGGTGTAGTGATACACATCTGTCACCCCAGCTACATAGGAGGTAGAAGGATCTCAGTCTAAGGCTGGCCCCTAGCAAGAACTCAAGACACTAGCTGAAAAATAACTAAAGAAAAAAGGCTGAGGGTAGCTCAAGAAGTAGAGCAGCTGCACAGCAAGCACAAGGCCCTGAGTTCAAATCCCAGTACTAAAAAAAAAAAAAAAACCAAACATATATATATATTTTAAGTCCGGCATAGGGGTGCACCTCTATAATCCCAACACTTGGGAAACAGGCAGGAAGATCACAAGGTTGAGGCCAGACTAGGCTACAACCCTGGGGTGTCTCAAAAAAAAACAAGGCTAGGTGGTAGGGTGCTCACCTAGGATGCACAGGCTCTGGGTTTCATCCCCAGTACTACAACAGAGATAAAAGGCAAAATGTGGGTGCAACTCACCAAGCATGTTGCTTAGTTACGCACTTGCATACCCAACCAAATGAATTTAACATCATGTTCATTTGAGGGTTTCCTGGTCCACAACACTTTCTGATGCTGACAAGCTAGAAGGGTAGTTCCTCAAAGGAGGAGAATATAAAGATGAGGGAGACATCCTTAGCATCAATGATAGAAGGTTCCAAGATGGGAGGGAGGAGAGTATGTAAGGCTGGGGAGACAGCCCACAGCTCCCACCTCGTTCTCTCAGGACCACCCCCCCCTTTTTTTTGTGGTACTGGGACCTCTCACTTGCTAGCCTCTACCACTTGAGCCATGCCTCCAGCCCCTGTCACTTTTATTAGTGTACAGAGTATGACAGGCTAGACTGCTAAGAGCTAGTGACAAAAATGACAAGTTTCTGTGCCAATGGCCCTCCCTTCCTGTTCTATTAATTCAGCTGGGTCAAAACTCCTGAAAACAAAGTCAAATTTAACATCCTTAGGGCAGTTCTAAGGAGGCTTACCCCATGCCACAAGGCCATGCCACCTTCTCATCTCCGCCAACAACACTGCTACCTTCTCAGAGAGGCCATGGGGCTCTCACAGTCACTCCAAGGCTTTGAGGCAACCTTGGCAAATGGTGGGTCCAGTGTGCCTGGGAGGCAATGGGGGCCTGGTGTGTGGCCCTGGCCGTCAGCCCAGGATAAAATCCTGGGACTTTACTTGAGTGTTGAGCCTGTTGCTGCCCTGTGGCCCTGTCTGGTTCCCAGCAAGGCCTGGCAGCATGCCCAGAGGTGGATTAGAGGGTCTGGGGGCCAAAAATTCCAGGGCAGCTAAACGGCGGATGGAAAGAAACATCTTGATCACAGCATTCTCTCTTCCTGACTGGGGCAAAGGCTATTTCTTAATCTTGTTCTGTTTTCTCAAATAGCCATGGGGCTGGAGCAGGTGAGACAGAGGGTTCCAAACACACACCCTGCCAAGTACAAGGAAGATTAGAGGGAGGGACTCAGCCAAGCATACAACCAGGCCAGCCCAGACATGCTTCAGGATAGGGGTCCCCTAGGGTGGTTTCCTTTGGGCTTATGTCCAGCTCTGCCTGCTGTGGACCTGACTGGAGAGCCTGAGCCCACTGCTACTGCAGCCCAGTAAATGGGAAAGTTCAGCACTGACTCCACTGGGTCCTTGTAGGCACTCCTTGGTCTTATGATAACACATACTGTTTGATTTACACAGCAGGTCCAGCACCTAGATACCTGGGCAGCTTCGTGTATACGTAAACAAAACCCCTAAAGACAATACAATGAAAAGGGTTTGGAACAGCCTACCGGTAGCTGACCGAAGGTCCCTTGATGTACTTCTCCTCAGCTGTCTTGTAGTCCACGGAGTCTACTGCAGCAATTGCGCAGATAATGGCCTGTAAAGAAAGCAGTCAGGTCAATCCGAGCAGCCAGCGCCAACAGGCCAGATCCTGCTGCACACGCAGAGGGAAAAATCCACAAGAAGCCAGCATGCCCCTGTCACCTCCAGCCATGGCCTGGCTTACAGTTCAAACCCAGGCACACAATCTATGATCTCTGCTTGCAGTGAGCTTCCTGATTTAAATCAACAAGGCCATATTTTGGACTGGAGACGGGAGTTCATGTCACTGAAAGCAAATCACGAAAGGCAGGACCCAAGCCCACAATGCATTTTTGAAAATCTGTAAGCTTACTGGAAAAAAAAAAAACCCTAAAAGATATAGTAAAGGTTAATTGAATACACAATAGAGACTGATACTAAGGAATCATTGGCAAATACATTTTTATTTTATTTTTAAAATTTTTTTTTAAGTTTTATTTTTGAATTTTCATGCATTTATAATGCAAGGGAAGTTGGGGGGTCATGGCTCAAGAGGTAGAGCACCTGCTTAGCAAGCATGAGGCCTGGGTTAATCTAACTAAATACAGTATATTCACAGCTAAAACACTATCATAAAACCCCTTTTAACAATGAATACGGCGGGGAGGGGGGCGGGGGGGGTTCAAACAATGTATACACATGTAACTAAAAGTAAAAATGATAAAAAAAAAGAATATGGATTTAGAAATGAAGGACGTCTTTTGAGAGGGTGAGTGTTTGTAGGAGGGGAAGGGGAATGGAAGGTGAATATGGCTAATGTAATTTATATACTTCTATAGTTTTTGACTGTTTTTTTTTTTTTTCTTTTTGGCAGGGCTGGGGTTTGAACTCAGGGCCTCATACTTGCTAAGCAGGCGCTCTACCACTTGAGCTACTTCACCAGCTGTACGTTATAGAATAGAACAATGAAACCTTTGGTAATTGTTTTAAGTAGCGGGGAGGAGGGATGAGGGAGACAGATGGTGGGGGTGAACCTAACTAAGGCACCATGTTTAAGTATATATGGAAATGTCACAACGAATCTCCCCTGGACAACTAATATATGCTAATAAAAAATTTAAAAAAAAATAATACAAGGGGGCAAATATATTTTAAAAGCATTCTCAGGGCTGGCAGAAGGGCTCAAGTGGCAAGAGCACCTGCCTAACAAGCATGAGGCCCTGCTAGGCAACATCTCTGGCTTCCACCTATCCCATACTAGGAGCATCCCTAATCATGACAACCACATGCTTCCCAGCATCTCCTAGTATCCCCTGGAGGGCAGAGTCACCCAGTGTTAGAGATACACACTAAAATATTTATGGATCAAAAAAAGCTTAAGGTTTTATTTCTTCCCCCAATATAATACAGAGGGGATGGGCACAGAGCCAATTATATTTTTGTTTTTGTATCTATCTGAAAATTTCTACAACTATAAGGTTTTTTTTTTTTTTTTCTTTTTTGCAGTACTGGGGATTAAACTCAGGACTGGTGCTTACTAAATAAATGTTGTAACCACTTGACCCATGCCCCCAGTACTTCTGCTTTTAGTGTTTTTCAGAAAGCATTTCATACTAACTCTGCCAGAGTTGGCATTGAACCACAATCCTCCTACTGACAGTTCCTGAGTAGCTGGGATTACAGGGGTCAAATGATTTAGAATCTGAGGGTGTCTTTCCAGCAGCACACGCATGCCTAACTGCACCCTCTCTGAAACTGACCACTATGAGTAGCCTTTGTATTTGCTCCTAACCTAGCCGTACTCCCAGTTCTGGTTCAAGGCCATGACTGAGTGCTACGCAAATTGAACACCCCTGCGCACCCAGAGGAGGTCCCTCGCCACCTCACCTCGGGCAGAAGCACATCCAGGATGAACCTGATCCTGTCGCCATTGACACGAGTCAGCATCTCCCCATCCATCTCCTGATAGACGCCCTGCAGGTACTTCACCACCAGGTCCAGCTGTTCCTCGTCTTCCAGGTAGGTCTCCACACAGGTCACGTATTGGCTAGAGTTCAAGAATGTCTTCAGCCACCGAGACGGCTTCCTGCTCTTCAAGATGGCCCTCAGGTGGCTCTCTGCACCCTTGGCTTTCACAATGTACTCCACCAGCTTCTGGTTGGCCCGGTCCCGCGCAGCACGAGAACGGTCAGGCAGCACCTTCCTGCAGGGCCGCCGCTGCCCCTGGGGGCTGCCCCCCTCCTGTTCCTCAGGGTCTCCCTTGCTCAGCTGAGGAAAGCTGGTTCCCAGGACATCCTGCTGGATGGACTTCCGGACAGGGTAACCTGCAACCAAAGCACCTATCAGGGCCCCACTGGGGCTGAACAGGGGTTCTGCTACCTTCTGCCAGCAACTGCCAGCAACTGCAGAGCAGAGCCTCCTACCCCAACAGCCCAGCTACAAAAGAGTCAACTTTTCTGTCTCCACGCCTTTAATGACTGGGAGGAATGGGAAACCTGTTCCTGCCCATAACTGTAAACACTGAATCCATGATGAACAAGCACCAAACATTCTACTATACAGGTGATACAGGTGACATTCCCGCCATGATGGGACAGTGGGACGTCCCCTAGCAGGCAGGGGCAGCCCCATCACATCTTGGGGGAACCTCAGGAGTCAAACAGAAACCATGGTGGGGTAACGCAGCTCTGCTCAGGATGTCATGGTGCCTTGGCCCTATGTAGCACCCCCATAACCACAGATCCCTAAAGACAATCAATCTTAAGGACTAAAAGGCGGAACCTACTTTCACAGCCAGGCTTTTACACTTACTTATGTTGGCAGCATAATATTCCAGGAAAGAGCCCGCAAAAGAACCGCAACCTGCAGAGGGTTAGAAAAGAGCTGCACACAGACTCCAGACACCTTCCAGGTTCTTTGGCTCAGAATGCCTCCTAGAATTTTTATCTGAACCCGACCCAGGGAGGGCTTTTTGGGGCACAAGTCTATGTCCACCACCACAGCAACGAACAGTCAGGGTGGTTCAGACAAGTCATCTGCTTAATAAATTCCCAAAAAGCAGACTCGGAACATGTGGAAACATGCTGTCACTAAAGGGAAATCTTGCCTTCTGTTTATCCGTATTTTTCCCATTTCTGCCTTTCACAGGCCCAAAAAGACCAACAGAAGAAGGGCCTGGAGCCAGTAAGTACATCTCCTCTGGGCAGCAGCAAGCCACCCTTGGAGGTCTTCAGGGACCGGTACCCACTGTCCCAGCCCCCCAGGGTGTAGCCCCACGTACCTAACCGCACTCGGTAGTCGGTGATGAGGGAGACACACCAGCCGATGGCTTGGTCATAGTTCTCTTTGGCTTTGTCCTACACAACCCAGACAATGGGGCATTAGTGGGGAATATGGGACCACTTGGCCCGTTCTCTCTGTCCAGAGGCCACATGAGGACAGCCCTGAAACCCATCTGTGCCTCAGTTTCTTCATGCACTTGAGCCTGCTAGAGGCCCACCATCTAGGGCTTCCAAGGTCAGAAAGGGCAATGCACAACGAGGTTGGGCCTGAGCCCAAGCTGCTCAACCATGGCCACTGGTGACTCCACTGCTCAGGGCCAGCTCTTAGGAGTGAATAGTGGACAAGCAACTCTAGTATAGCCTACATTATCATCAGAAAGACTTAAAAATTATGCTGGGTGCCGGTGGTCCATGCCTGTAATCCAAGCTACTTAGGAGAGAGAGATCAGTAGGATCATAGTTCGAAGCCAGGCTAGGAAAATAGTTCCCAAGACCATATCTTGAAAAATCTCATCACAAAAAGGGCTGGTGGAGTGGCTCAAAGTGTTGGTCCTAAGTTCAAGCCCCAGTACCACAAAAAAAAAAAAAAAAAAAAGCTATGAAATCGGGCTGCTGGAGTAGCTCAAGCAGTACAGCGCCTGACTAGCATGTGTAAAGCCCTGAGTTCAAATCCAATACCATCAAAAAAATGAAATAAAAAATGCTGTGAAATCACCTATTATGAGAGGTCTGTGTACCCAAGGACACCAGCTTGCCCACTGTTCAGAAGGTGGCTGGTTTACAGGAGGACAAGCTGCCCTCGGGAGGGAGGGAGGGATGTTGTCACCAGCACCAGGACTTGTCCAAGAGTTTCCCTGTCCTCACCAGAAAATAAGGACAACACCCTTGACTCCATCCTACTCCTGTTGCTATCAATTGGCTCTGAGATTCCTCCCAAAAAAGGCCTGAAGCAGCATCCACAGTGAACCTTAGGGCTGGGATGAGCACCTTGGACCAGCCTGTGACCCACCTGCCTGTCAACATTATCATCAGGTATCAGAGATCAGAGCTGTGGCTCCGCAGGTGCCACAAAGACAGTTCTATCACACGTTGGTCCATAGAAGACTCCAAAGCCATGAAATGCCCCACCAGTACACCCCACGCTCAGCGGCTGAATCTCCATTGTCTGCTGCCGCCAGCCCTCAATTGGTTTCCCCAAAATCAATCCTCACAGGCTGTGCTTCCAACTACTTAAGATTTTTTTTTTTTTTTGGTGCTGGGCCATATGCATGCTAAGCACACTCTACCACTGAGCTGCACCCCAGCCTTGATCACTTCACAGACACTGACATCTCCTGCCACCTGCCTACACAGGGGAGCTGAACCCATTTTTCTCAGGGAAAAGGATGTATTCCAAGAGTATAAGGTCACCTCTAGGAAGATGCCCCATTTTCCCATAACCCAGATTTTTTTTTTTTCTTTTTATAACCCAGATTTTTTTGTGATAAAACACAAATACATGAAGACCCTTGATAGAGCAAGAAGACTCTTGGTAGCCCTTGTGCTCACACAGCCCTCCACTTTGAGTAAGTTGTTCCAATCCCCAAGGGCAGAATCAACGCTATAGATGAGCTGTGAGCTCAGGTCAGGTGTCAGGTTGGGTGAGGTCCTGCCCAAGTTCTACTGCGCACGAGTATGCATTTTGGGGAGTATGGAAGCTTGCCCTCTGCCAACACCAAAACCTGCCAGTCTAGGTGCCCAAGAGCTGGCTATGGGTTACAAGTTGCAAAGAATAAACCAACAAAACAGGGGACAAGGCTTGCCATCCTAGAAGAGAACAAACTACTGACAGGTGAGGAAAGGCTTGGGACATGATTTGAGTGAGCACCAGTGGTCCAAACAGCCAAGCATCAGAGAACAGAAATGTGGGGCTAAGCAGTGGCATAGCCCAGGCTTAGTAAGCTTGAGGTGCTGGGTGCAATCACTAGCACCAAATAAGGGAGAAAAAAAAAAAAAGAGAAAAATGCATTTGGCGATCACAACCAGCTTCACTGTTTGCCAAGATACGCCCAATGTTCAAAGGCTCCCTGTGAACTGGTAAGCCCTCAGCCAGGTAGTAGAGAGCCCTGAACCTCAGTCAATAACTCAGTGGGACACACAGGATGACTTCCCCTACAGGCCTGACTAAAATGGGACACCAGATACATGACAACTAAAAAGTGAAAATAACTGTGTTGAGCTATGGTGGAGGCCACAAGGACCCCACAGCCACCTAGGTCTGTGTTTTTTGTTTTTGTTTTTTTGTTGTACTGGAGCTTGAACTCAGAGCTTCTCAATTGCTAGGTAGGTGCTCTTTTTACTTGAGCCCTTTTTGCTCTGGTTATTTTTGAGATAGGGTCTTGCTTTTAGCCCAGGCTGGCTAGGACCTTGATCCTATTTTAGGTTTCCCCCCATAGCTAGGATAACAGATACATGCCATTACACCAAACTATTTTCCTTTTAGATGGGGGTCTCACAAAGTCTTTTTTCCCCCAGGACTGACCTGCAACAGTGATCCTCCCTATTCCTGCATAGCTTGGAATGATAGGCATGTGCCACTGCACCTAGCTATTGGTTGAGATGGGGTCTTGAGAACTATTTTCCTAGGCCAATCTCAGCCTCCTAAGTAGCTAAGATTACAGGCATGAACCACCAGTGCCCAGATGTTTTTTTGTTTTTTTAAGAGGTGATATAACAAAATGAGTATTTACCAAAACTGAAACAGACATTTTTAACTGAGCAAACTGTGTCGATGAACACTGACTGTGGTTCTGGGAGCCACCTGCCTCCAGCCGTGTATAACACTCAAGGGCCTGATGTGCTCACTATGCTGGGTCAAACATGGGATCCCAGCTTCCAGGGCTTACAGCCCACATGTTGTCCCCCCATCCCGCACCCCCTATTCCCAGGCAACTTGAGAATAGTCACCCAAGGAGCTAGCCTTTGCCTGCACTCTCACCATGGTCTCCACAAGCTGGGGAGACAGGCTATCATTTGATGTGAGCATTTGATGCAATGACAGTTATGGCCTGAAACAGTGCCTGCTTCTGGTTTTAGCTGTTCCTTCCCTAGTTCCCCACATGAGCACATGACAGCCACAGACTCCAAGGGCCACACAGACAACATGATGACCAGTCATAAAATAAACCACTTACAGAAGCAAGTAATGATCCACCTACCAGAAGTGTCTGTTTCTCTTTACAATCAAAGTGCTTCAGCCGCTTGAGAGACACGGTGATTCTTGACAAAGCAGAGAAAAGCAAGGGTTAAACACACAAGAGTTTGGGGCTGTGTTCCCTACCTTTGATGAAATTAGTGAGGGGTTGCTGTGGCCTCCCAGAAGCCAATCTATTTATGGAAGGTGGCCATTTTCTCAGCCAGGCCCTAGAACTAACAGGGCTGAGTACTGATGCCAGGGACCCTACTGTACCCCGCCAGTTGTCTCAGAAAGCATAGAGTGTCCAAGGGCCAGATGAGGCTAGCTGCTTATGCAGGCTTCTGCAGAAGGTGCCTGCAGGTTCTGAAAGGCAGCTTGGAGCCAGTTAGCATGATTGTATGCGTTGTGGCAGGGAATAGCTGGCAAAGACTGGCCAATTAGCCAAATGGCAAGACACAGGTTAAAATAGGGATGCTGTTTTTGTGGACCAAGCCTTGTGAGAGAGGGCGCAATAAGCATCAGCTCAGGTCATCTTTTAGAGATGTTCTTTTAGAAATTCTACAAACTGAACACCCTTTAGCCATGACTCTTGTTCCTGGCAAGGCACCCTGCCTGGCTCTGGGCTTATGCTCAGGTGCGCCCTCACTCCCTCCACACTACATCCTGAGAGCTGTCAGAACGTCAATTGAACCACTCACAAAATCCAAGAGAAATGTTTTACCCTCTGCCTTTGGGGTTCATGTTCCCTTCAATGAATAGCACGCTGGCTTTCTTATCTCTCCGCCTGACGCTTTTGACCTGTCAGCAAATCCAAGAGAAAACAGGATCAGGAACATGAGAGAGACTGTGGGTTTCTACTCTGTCCTCTGTAGCCCTCACTCAGGTAGGACTGGCGTTGGTGAACAACTAGACATGGCACTCAATGCCCTGTTACTGGGTAACCCAGGCAGAGGCCACAGCACCAACTGCTAAGAATCTGGGCTGGGCTTGCTGCCCACCTCATTCATTCTATGTGGTGTAACAGTATTATGTGGAGCTGAATTGGGCAGTTTTCCACTTTGGTTTCTTAATAAAAGGCCTTGCACCCACTACTTTGTTGCCCCTCTGCATGTGTCTGGGTCAGTTTCTGACCAAGTAGAGGCTGCTTAGAGAGGCTCAGGAGCCAGCCCAGCATGAAGGAAGCAGAAGATCTGCTGTGAGTCCCAACTTACATCTGCCCCTCCATGGCCTGCTGTTCCTGTGGCCCCCAGGAATGATGCCAAGGAGCCCTTCTTGTAGAGCAGGGCTGGCTCCCAAGCCTCCACCTCTCGGGCAAGTCTGCCTGTTTCTGTGCCTGGAGCCCCATCATGCTAGTGACCCACAAGGGACTCTGGATACTGATGACAAGCCAAGCACTAGGAAGTGTAGAGAAAGTGTCTGGGAAGGGCCCCACACACTGCCTCCCTCACAGCTGGACCAAGGGGCCCTTGAGGATCTCAGCTCAGCTCCCCATTTTTCTCAGGAACTACTGTTCTTAATGTAACCATACTCTAATTCTGTTCTTAATGTAACCATAGTCAGCAGGCACAGAGAGGCCTGGTATTGTAGAGCACAACCACTAAAACAGCAAAATTATCTCAATGGTAGAGCCAAATCCGCTTTATTTATTTTTTTTTATTGTTGTTGCTTTTGGTGGGACTAGGATTTTGAACTCAGGGCTTTGCATTTGCAAAGCAGATGCGCTACCACTTGAGCCACACCTCCAGCCCATTCTGCTCCGATTATTTTTGAGATGGGAGTCTCAAAAACCCTTTGCCCAGGCTGACCTTGAACTGTGATCCTCCAGATCTCAGTCTCACAAGTAGCTAGAATTATAGGCATGAGCCACCAGCGCCCAGTTATTTTTGTTGGTTTTTGAGATAGTCTTGCTATGTAGCCTTGGCTGGCTTTGAACTCAAGATATTCCTGCCTCTGGGGTCCTGGGATTACAGATCTATACCACATCCACAGTTAACCTTTTGGATTTAAACGTTGTTGTCTCTTGATAAAAATTAAATAACTAGGGCTGGGATGTGGCTCGGTGGTAAAGTACTTGCCTAACACATTGAAGACCTTGGGTTGCACACCCAGCAAAACACAAAATATGCAACTACAGCTAGAATAAGCAGAACTCTGTCTGTGCTAGAGGAGGGGAAAGTGAAGGGTAAATCCTGAAGGAGAGAGAAAAGGCCAGTGTATGTCTTTATTTTAAAAATTCAAACTACTGAGCTGTAACGTCCAGGTGTATGGAGAATACAAAGCTACGAACCCAGCCTCCTCTGAACTCATCAAACACACTGGGAACCTCGACAGGCTCACAAAGAGATGTTTATCTCTTTTTGGTTCGTTCTTTTATTATTATTTTCTTTAAGACAGGGTCTCACTATGTAACTCAGGCTGGCCTGGAACTCTTTATCCTTCTGCTTCAGCCTCTTGACTGCCACAATTACAAGCATGCACCACCATGTCCAGTTAAAAAATTCATGAGTTTTCATGGGTAAAAAAGCTTTAAGTGCACATTACCTAAGAGGAGCAAATTGCAAACTTTTTTTTTTTTTTTTTTTTTAAAGAAAACAACAACAACAAAAACAGGAAGGTTTGTCTAAGAGTCTGCTTGGTACAAATTTGACCTGTGAATCTCACACTAGATGAACAAACCCTTTTTATTAGGTCAATGTATCTACAGTCATCTTCCTTATAACATTCCCCACCACCTCACTGCTGCCAAGTTTTCCAGTAATAACAAAACCATAAAAACATCTGCCCAGGCCAAAGGATGGGGAACCAAGAAGGGGATCCGACTGTTCAGACGGTGTGGGGGGCGCTCTTACCACTGCTGGCCAGAAGGGGTATTTTTGGTATTTAAGCCAGACTAGCATTCCTACTTCAAATGAACGTGGTTCTAGAATTTAAAAAAAAAAAAAAAGGAAGGAAAGAAAGAAAAAAAACAAAAAGATAGAAGAGATAAGTCAAATCCATATCAACCAGCAAGTGTAACAGCTTGAAAAAACACAATTATCATAATATTGTATAAAGCCAATTTTAACATAATTCACCTACATGATCAAGAGAATTTGAAGCAGAAATATAACTCATGTCACTGGAGTCTAAATGCCAATCATGAGACCTCAAGATAAACGACAATGGTGTGATTTCCTGGTGGTGACAAATGTCCTGTAGTCAGGGAAGGCACTAGTGGGAGGGATAGATGGGCACTCTCTGTCTTGTATTTGCAATTTCTCTAAATCTTAGTCATTTTCCAAAATAAGATTTTTTTTTAAAAAATGAGTATGGTTCAGACTGGGGTATGGCTCAATGGTGGAGCACTTGCTTAGCATGTATGAGGCTCTGCATTCACCCCTGGCAACACAAAATAAATAAGAGTATGGTAACAAAGCAGAAACGAGACAGCGGTACATAATTAAGAGCCAAAAATATGAGCTTAATTTCAAAGAAATGTATCGAGAAACTAGATCTTCAAATGGGGAGAAATTATTTAAGTCATAACTACAACCCATTTATGAACAAAATTTAACTACATTTTCTGCAAATCTCTCCCCCCCACAAAAAAATACCAGTTTGAATTAATAGTTTAAATTTTAAAAAGTCAAGTAACTGGAAAAGTAGCAGAAAGTCAAGGCCCTTGGCCATTCAGGGTGACAGCCCAGGATGAGCTGATGCAGAGGAAAGGGAAGATCCCATATCTGACTATAAAAACCAAGGTATGTGAAGAAAAACACAAATCCACCTGAGAAGGGAGGCAAACAAGAGACAAGGCTCACTGTGACCCTAAGGGAAAGCAACTTCCCACCTAGGGAAGGTATTTAGCTTTTTGGAGACTTTGAGGCCTCAAACCAGTCAGAGAGATATACCCCGCCAGTGTGGAGGTGGTTGGTAAACACCAAAACAAGTTTGGCCTCATGGTTAAAAAACAAAATCAACCAAAGCAAAAACCAGTTTAAGCCACCAACAGAAGAAAGGGGCAGAAATTTGTGGTTAAGGCCATGTGATTCCTTTGGCTGCCAGTGGAAGGAAAGGTCACAGGGTCCCTTCTCTGTGGTCAGTGAATCCTGCTTGTGGGAATTGATCCTACAGCAATTATTCCCCACAAGTGCATGACGGGTGCCCTAAAAATCCCACAGCCCTAGAAAAATCAAAATACTCAGTGGGTGGTGGGGAGGACTCAGCAAGAAATGACTCATCACACTTAGTAATAGTAACCAGTCCCCACTAAGAACAATTTGCAATTTGTGGAAATGTACAAAAAAAAAAAAAAGTTTGAGCTCACATAAAATCAAACAAACAAAAGAACAAAGAAAAGAAAATGCAAAGCTGTATTACGTTCATTTAACAATGAAAACTCTTTAGCAGTTTGATCCAAAAAAAGAAAAAAGAGCCACGTAAAAAACAGCACAGATGCATGTACACATATTAGTGTACATATGGAGTTGGTGAATGTCTGGCTGCATAGAAGTGGCCTTCTAGCTGGGCAGCTCTGCAGGATGTTACTAGTGGGGCAAGCTGGAAACGGGCCTACCCTGAACTCTTTCTGTCACATCCCATGAACCAACAATTACTTCCAAATTAGAAATAACTGGAAGGGCCTAGGTAAAGGTCATGGTTAATGGGCCCGTTTGAAAGCATAGCAGATTCTGAACTTTCAGTTTGCTGACAATTTAGGTCTCTTTATGGCTAAACCTTTCTTTCTCTATAACAAGCACTCTTACCTCTGGGGTAAACAGGATGTGTGTGTGTGGGTGGGGGGACAGGAGGAGGGTGCAGCTCCCTTGGGCAGAACATGCAGAGAGACATTCCCATGCCCTCACCAAAGGGAAGCGAAGGCCAGTGGCCAGTGGCAGCACAGCCAATGGAGGCAGTATGCGGCCACGCCCAAAGGAGGGCAGTATAGCCCAGCTATTCAAATATTCAGCTGTCCTTGTTCCCAAGGAGTGGACAAGAGGACAAGGGCTGAGAGGGAGGGCTGGCTGCTGCTCATAGAACCCCTTTCCCCTTTGTGTAGCTTATTCTTCAGATAAGGGTACAGAAAACATTCACTTCCTCAGGGTCCCTGCCAGGTCTTGGTTCAGTAGCAGAAAAATGAACCAGCAAGAGACCATTAGCTGGAGGTATCAGAGCCAGTTTCAGAACCCTGGCCCACATTTCTTTCCTACGCATCATTAAAATGATGTATGTATAAATATAATGATATATAAATATATATAATGATATATATATGTATACACAATGATGCATATATAATTCATCATTATAATGAAGGCCCATGCTATGATTATTTCTTACCATGATACAAAAGGATTCTTGGCGGCTCCTCATCTTCCTCATCTTCATCCAGGATGGAAGTAATGGAATGAAACTCTGTGGACTCTTCTGAAGACTGACGGTCTGCCAAGAATGTGAGGTATCGTATTGTCACCATAAGTCATCCCAAGAAAATACTTTGAGGCACACGAACATCAATATAAAAGCAAAGATCCACAATTCCAATAGGGTGCACCTTAATTACGGTGTATTTTATTGTTTTTCTTTTTGGTGCTAAAGATACACCCATATATGGTCTAACGAAGACTAGAGCAAGAGCTCTACCACTCAGCTATATCCCAGCACTTGGGTTTTGAGACTAGGTCTCACTGTGTAGCTCAGGCGACCAGCACTTTCAATCCTCCTGCCTCAGCCTCGAGAGCTGGTATCACAGGCATTCGCCATCATGCCCAGCTTCCAAAGTACATTTTAGGGAAGGAAAAAAAAAAAAAAAAAATGAGAGGGAGAGAGTCTGAAGCACTGTGTAGACAGGGAATGGGAACTAGATCTAAGATTTAGCCCTGAAGAAGACAGGGAGCCAGTCACTTTCCCTTACAAAAACACGGTGAGGAGGCCAAGTCAGTTCCCTGTAGCTTTGCAATAGGTAGGGAGAGGGCCTCGTGCAGGGAGTTCACAGAAAGATAAATCTGTGTTGTATCTACAATGAAGTGGTTTCCAGATATTGGTTATGAAGTAGTTAAGACTTCTGAATTAGCATTTCAAACTAAGAGAGATACTATAAGATTTAGAGGGCAAAAAAAAAAAAAAAAAAAAAAAATCACACATAGTGCATGTCTGCTACCACACAAAGATGTGGGGAATTCCTAAAGTCGGGAGACTTTTAGTCACTTTTGAAAGTTCTGCCTCATTTGCGGGAAATGCATTATTAGTTCTGCAATGGTTAAAATTAAAGAGAATCCTGAGGGCGCAGATGCGGCAGCATCCCAGGCACCATGCAACCCTGCCTGTGTCACCAACAGCCTCCCCTCCCACTCTGCCACAGGCTCCCATTCCACTCTCTCTGCTTCAAAACAAAAATAAAGACCCAAATATTTGGGAGGAGTTGAAGTAATTATAGCTCAGTGGGGAGACAAAGGAATGAGAAATCTCTGCTCTGAATCTATTTCAGACACGCTCTCATTAAAATCTGGTTAAAAATACTCAAGTGCCACCTACGGATCTGGCCTGGCAGAGCCCGATTCTGCTTAGGCACCACCCAAACCCATTTACCTTCCTCCAACCTGTCGAGGTCCTGGAGATGAAGACTGCTGGATCCTTCCGCCAGAGTGTTTGAGGGAGGCAGGCTGGGTTTATCTGCAGCGCTACGCAAAGTCATGTACTCCCTGGCCTCCTGCTTGCAGGACAGTGCTGCAGCCACAGTCCCTGTCCCCAGCTGAGTGGCAGGCAGCCTCTGGCCTCCATCCAGGCGCAATCTCTTTGCAGGGCGTCCTCTGGCCTGCTCTGGAGCTGGGAGCACTGTGAGGCTGCCTGATGGCACACCCAAGTCATGTCCTTTGGCTCTGGCACATGGATCATCCTTCCAGGCTCGGGAAGGCGAGGCTGGCGCTATCCAGACGCCAGCCTGTCTCTCACTCTCTTCTTTGATCTTGCCCCCTGAAAGGCCAGGCACTGTCTGGCACCAGCTGGACTTAGGTGTCTGAGTCCGATTTCTGTAGCGGATCCTTGATCCACTTCCATCCTGAGAATCCTCTCCAGCTGAAAGGACCAACGGGGCTCTTGGGTTTTCACTTTTCCTGAGACCCTTCTTGTGGTCCACTTTGTGCTCAGGGTCCTTTTCCCAAGTGGATGACCACAACGAGCTTTGTTGTGCATGTCCCCTCTTCTTCTCAGGTCTGGAATGAGCTGATACATCTTCATGGAGAAGGGATGAGGTGAGAGAATTAGGTAGTGAGGAAGCGGCTTCCGTGCTCTGCTTCTCTCTCTGAGATAGTGAAGGTTCACCTTTCCTCGAAGGGCTTTCTTGACTCAAGCTGGGTCGTTCATTCAAAACATCTAGAGCCACTCGAAGCGACCGTCTATAGGTCAGCTCTTCCAGGGGTGCGGCCGGGACCTTGCTTTGTGAGGCTGCAAGGACAGAACACACATGCGGGTTACTATGAGGTACCCAGGAGCCACCACTATAGCCTCTCTTCAAAAGCTGAAGTGTCTAACTGCAGTCACTACTGTCAGTCCCTAATTGAGTGAAGGGCAAGCCTAACATTTCTCACCTACATTTTCCCAAAAAGGGGACAAAGCTACAAGACAGCTATTCATTCGGGTTGCAAAAAAAAATTACTGACCATAACCCGATTGGCTGAAAACAGAATTCTTCCAAGACACAAAAGAATACCGTGAACAAAATGTATTCAAATGTTTTGCAAATCCTCTGTCAGTCTTACAATTTCAAATTCAATCAGGGTCAATAAAAACCAATGCCAACTAAATAAAGAACTTGGCTGACAGTGAATTCCTGGCTTGGGGGGGATGCAGTCAGAACAGGGGATAAATAAAAACTCATTGTGGCTGCTAGGTTTTCCCCATTTCTTCACAAGGGCATTTCAAAGCCAGAAAGGCATTCCAGGTCATCAGACTGCACCCATCCTCTCACTGAAATAGTTTTATTTATTCATTCCGACATACAGACACGACGCTACTTATTTGAACAAGATGATAGAGGCAATATCACAACTCAGCAGGCATAATGCCTCAATCAAAATGGTATTTTGCCCGTTTAATATTAAAGGCACCCATAAGTAGCCAGCTCTCCAACATGGTTTGTACCAATGATGGGATATCATCCAAGGACAGTGGTCAGTACTGCCTGAGACAGGCAGGCATGACCTTGCTCCAAACAACAGCAGTTTTTTGGAAGACACAAGAAACTAGACCTTGTTTTCTAAACACCGTGGGAAGGAATTCTGGCCAATCTTTTCACAATACAAACTATTCTTTTTAACACTGAAATTTTTTTTTAATTTTTTGATGCCAGGGATTGAACTCAGGGTCTTACGCATGCCAGACAAGTACTCTACTACTAAGCTATACCTCTAGTCCTGAGACAAACCATTCTTTGCCAATGGAATAAATGCTCCCATTTTGAGGGGGAAAGAGCAATTATTTATGTTTGAATTTGCTGAACTTCGACTAGGTGAGCACAAGGAGGGTGGCTGCCATTCTCTAGCTGTGTGTGCATGTGACAGGTCCCTGGCTTCGCTGGGCTTATGCCAACTCCCTCTCAGCTATAAAACACTCAGGGGCCGGGTACCAGTGACTCACAACTATAATCCTATTTGGGAAGCTCAGATCAGGAGAATCATGGTTTGAGACTAGCCAGGCAAATAGTTCTTGAGACCCCCATCTTCAAAATAACCAGAGCAAAATGGACTGAAGATATGCTTCAAGCAGTGGAGTACCTGCTTTGTAAACACAAAGCTCCAAGTTCAAACCCAAGTCACACCAAAAAAAAAAAAAAAAAAAAAAGGAAACAAAACAAAAATGCACAGGTGCTAAATTGAATGCCCTAGAGAATGAAGCTGAGTTCCAGTCTCATCCCTACGTAGATGGCACCTACAGACAATAAGCAGTCTCCAGTGGAGCCAGGCTCATCCATTTTTTCCCCATTAGGTTCCACTCTGGAATCAAACACACAACCAACTGCTTCTTAAAGTCAGGCTGAAATCAGACCAGCAAGAGAGCCATCTTAGAGTCTTACTGTGGAATGGGGGAAAGAAAAAAGAACTCCCCAGGCGAGCAAACTCATCAGTGTCTTCCGAGCACTGGAGACCACATTTCAAAATGACCTTGAACCTTGGGTCAGGAACAGGACTAGGGCCAGGCGGGTGTGGTGACCATGCCTATAATCTGCAATCCCAGTACATGGGAGGTTGAGGCAGGAGGACTGACTACATTGTGAGATGCTATCTCAAAAAAAGAAAAAGCTTAAGACAGATGGGTGCTGGTGGTTCATGCCTGTAATCCTAACTACTCAAGAAGAAGAGATCAGGAGGATCGGGGTTTGAAGCCAGCTGGGGAAAATAGCTTGCCAGACCCTACCTCAAAAAAAAACCTTCACAAAAAAAGGCTAGTGGAGTGGCTCAAGGTGTAGGCCCTAAGTTCAAACCTCAGTACCACCAAAAAAAAAAAAAAAAAAAAAAAAAAAGAGGAAGAGGAGTATAGCTCAGTAATACAGTGCTTGCCTAGTGTGTGCAAAGCTATGGGTTCTTTCTCCTGCACTGTCAAAAAGAAAAAAAGAAAAGAAAAGAAAGTCAAACACACAAGAAAGAGTAGAATTGGTTCTAGGAACAAATTCTGGAAAGGCTTAAAAAAGCAGATCCATATTTTCCTTTTTATTTATTTTTTGCGGTACTGAGGCTTGAACTCAGAGCCTACACCTTGAGCCACTCCACCAGACCTTTTTTGTAAACGTTTTTTTTTTTTTGTCAAGATAGGGTCTTGTGAAGCCAGCCCAGGATGGCTTCATACCCCGATTCTCCTGATCTCTGCCGCCTGAGAAACAAAGATTATAGGCGTGAGCCACGGGTGCCCAGCTTTTTTTTTGGTGGTACTGTGGCACTGGAACCTTGTGCTTGCTAGGCACGTACTCTACAACTTGAGCTGCTCCTCATCTTTAATTGCTTTTGTTTTTTGAGACAGGGTCTCACTATGTAACCTAGTCTCCCAAATGCTGAGATTACAGGCAGAGCTACCACACCCAGTTATTTTTCCCCTTCCATCATTCACGTTTCCTTGTACTAGGGTATAAATGCTTCAAGTTTTTACCCACAGAGCCAATTCTTCCCGTTCTCCCAAACACTGTTTTGTCAGACCTCACACTCATTTGGAAGTCTGCTCTTACCTAAGAAGGCAGCGATGTTCTCAATTTGGGACTTCTGCAGGGCCTCAACATCTGTGCTTTTCACCTGGATTCTGCAGGGAAAGAGACGACTTTATGCACTACCAGCCAAGGCCACAGAGACACTTTCAAACATGTTTTTCTTCAGATGACAAAAGAATTATATTCGTTTCCCTCCTCAACCTTCCTCTTGCACTAAAACTCACAGCCAACTAGGAATTCACCTGCCTGAGGTTAGAGGCAGTAAGCATCCTGGATGTAGTTTTTTTTTTTTTTTCTCTTTCATTCCTTCCCCCGCTCTCTTTTAAGACAGAAAAGGTTGGCTGGAGTTAAGAGTAAAAATAAATTCAAATTGTGACTTTTATGAGGCAAATCCAACTTTCAACTGCACAAATAACTCCTTTGTTAGGTTTTCAGAGTAGAAGGTAATGTCACTAAAAGCTGTTTACAGCCCAGCAGGCGTGTTTTAGTTTAAAAGGATGTCTTTCCTTTTTAACTCAAGTATTCAATTACCTTCCCAGCCTCAGGGAGAGTGTGAGCAGAGGGCCAGGCGGGCTCTGAAGAAACGGGAGGCAGCAGGAAGGAGAGGGGCTGGGGAGCCCCCAAGAGACACAGGCAAGAAAGAGAGCCAGATGGAACTCTTTAGAAGTGGGAATTCTGACACCAGACACACCGCCACCAGAACCATCACACATCACTTGGGCACTCAATTCATTGTCCTTCCAGATGACCCACACCTTCCACCACTGGATAATCAGATGCAGAAAAATAACAGGCTGCACCATAGCTGCTGATTGGCCTTTTGAATGCTGAAATATAGTCTCTTATTGGAGTACCGGGCCCAAACTCTAAGTGTTCCAAAATCAATGGGCCTGCCACACAGTTTTCCAAAGAAGATACACTAATATGACAAGGAAAGATACCAATTTGGACACCAAAGAGAAATCAATCCAGGATATAATTTATGTTTCTTCAAGTTTTATACCTATCTCTCCTATGGATCTCACAGAATGCCTTGTTTAGGTCAACTTCCAAACTGGCATTAAAAAAAAAAAAAAACAGGTGTCATCCTCAAAGGTTATTTGGAACACTAATGAGTAATAATAACTAGAGAGTTAATAAGCTCTTTAGAGCAAGAGTTCATTTGGTGGGGGAACGGGAAAAGTATCAGAAACCCCAGACAGAACAAAATACCATTTAAAAAATACAACACAGCTGGATAATGGTGGCTCATGCCTGTAATCCTAGCTACTCAGGAGGAAAAAATCAGTAGAATTGTGGTTCGAAGCCAGCCCCAGACAAATAGTTTATGAGACCCTATCTTAAAATAAACCCTTCACAAAAAATGGCTGGTGAAGTGGCTCAATGTGTATACCCTGAGTTGAAACTCGGAGGTTGGGGAGAGGTGGAAAAGGAAAAAAAAAAAAAAATAAAAACGACAACACTTAACTTTTCCTCTAGAGAGAGTATTTGAACATCTAAAAAGAATTCCTTTTTTCTCTTATTTTTTGTTGAAGTCTCCGTTCTGGCCAATACCTAAATTTTAAAAAAGAAAAATAATCCTTGTTATTGAGCCTAAAAAGAAACAGAGCCAACACAAGAATACAAATGTAACAAGGACTTCTTAAGGTTATGTCACCACAGAATTTCACAAACAGGATCCAACCCTCTTCAATTCTAATGGGGAAACTGAGTCACGCAAGGCCAGTGGCGATCTGAAGCCAGGACCCCCTGCCTTACAGCTCAATACTTCCTGATGAACTGCTGGAAGGCATCCCCAAAACACAACTGTTATTTACTATCATGGAGCTTCTTGCCAGATTATTTCCTTGAGTCAGAGCCTTACATGCCTTTTTATAGCTGACTCTGTTATTTCTTTTTTCATAGTGTTAAAAAAAAAAAAAAAAAAGACACTTCCTGAAGCAGAACTTTGTAAGCACTAGACCAAAACCCCATTAAATGGGGAGCAAGGATTCCTGCCAACAGATCCAGGTGTCAACCTTTCAGGTTCAATTATTTCACCCAAGCCACTCCTAAGAACTGGAGCCTGATAAAGATTTTACTTGTCACCCAAAAGTCATTTCTAATTCCTGAAATCACAGAGTAATGGCTGTCACCTTCGCAGGCCATAATCGCTTTTCCCATCTGCAGAGGACATACTTGGCATCCGTCATGATTTGGACTCATGTGGCAAGTGGTAATGATTTGGCACAGAAAGTGCTTCAAGGTCTGCTGCTGATGTGCCCTGCAACAAAATTTGCACAGTGGTTTATAAAAGCGTTTGCTTGCAATTTTATCACAGACACAACTCTTAAGAGCAAAGGTTAGCTTAGCTTATCCTCCAGTAGATGGTTCAATTCTGTAACCTCACACTGAGATGCTCGGCACCAAAAAACCAACTGACAAAGGAGACGCCTTGGTACCTGGGGAGGTGCCTGTTTTTTTTTCATAAATAAAATGCAGCAGACTCCCTTCCCAAAGGAACTGTCTATATTATTTTTAAAAAGTTCCTGAATAAATCATTCCCGGGCTGAAGGCCTACCTTCCACCTCAGCACAAGAGGCATTTTAAACAATCACAGCTTACAACCCTCCCCTGCTCTGGGAGTCAGCAGTTAACCACAACCCAAAAAAATAGAGTTGAGAAGCACTGCTCTTTCTGCTGCCATGTCCCTGAAAGGACGAGACAGCTGCAGTTGGTTCACTACACCCATGGCAGAGGCTGCCCTGGCTGTGGACTGAAATGGAAAGGTTGTGGGGGGGGCCTCTCCACAGGGGAGGTGTTTAGTCAGCAGAGGAGGGAGTTCACAGTGATAGAGGGTGGGGTTCAGGCAGAAGAAGGAGAAGGCAGTAGGCAGTAGGAGAAGCAGTGCTTGAGGCAGCAGGGACTGAGGAATCAGGCTGTAGACGGGGGTTTTCAGGTAGCAGGGACAAGGAATCACGCAGCAGAGATGGGTGTTCAGACAGCGGGGCGGGGCGGGGGATCAGGCAGCAGAGACGGTTCAGGCAGAAGAGAGCGTTCGCAGAAGTAGAATCGAGGGATCAGGAGGCAGGGACGAGGGATCAGACAGCTGAGATAGGGGTTTAGGAATCAGGGACGCGGGTGTAGGTAGAGGTAGGGATTTGATCAGCAGGCACTGGGTGCAAGCGCGGGATCAGTTTGCGGGCAGGGGCCTCCCCTCCCCTAGGCCCCGCCAGGCCTCGCCGCCTCAATTCCACCCAGCTGACCCCAGGGGTGCAGCGGGCCAGGCTCACCGGGCGCCTCGGCCTGTCCAGCGCGGCGCCCAAGCCCGAGCAAGGAGGCCGCAGCAGCCCCAACGGCGGAAGGCTAACCCGCCAACCGCCGCCGCCCGTGCCCCCACGCTCACCGCCTCCGCTGCCGCGCCGCTTCCCGCGGGCTGGGGGCGGTGCCTACCTCGCAGCGGCGCCTAGCCCCGCCCCCTCCACCGCCCAATGGGACGCGTGCGTCGTCGCTCCGCCCCGTCTCCGCCGACAGACGCTAGCTCTCTCCTGTAGGCCACGCCCCCGGTACGCAGGCCAGGCTCTCCACACAGCTTCTCGTTCCCGCCTCCCCAGCGCGTGCGCAGAGTGAACCTGGGTGACCTGGGTTTTGCTCTTCGGCGGGCTCTTGCTTTCCCGCGTTGAACTACCTTTGTCTTCTAGTCAGACCCCGGACGCTTGTCGGGAGAATCCCTGTGGGAAGACAGAAACCTCCCCGCCTCACTCGCGCACGACCCCTCAGAGAAACTTCCAAGTTGTTTTTTTTTGTTTTTGTTTTTGCGGTACTTGGGCTTGAACTCAGGGCTTTCACCCTGAGCCATTTCACCCGCCCTATTTTTGTGAAGGGGTTTTTGAGCTAGGGTCTCGCGAATTATTTGTCCGGGCTGGCTTCGAACCGTGACCCTCCTGATCTCTGCCTCCTGAATAGCTAGGATTACAGGCGTGAGCCACCGGCGCCCAGCACCTTCCAGTTTTTGCCGTCCCTCCCCGCTGATCTTATTCCCACCCCAGAGCCAGAGTGCCCGCCCGTGACCAAACACCACGAACTCTGCAGGAGACCCATTTATTTGCCACAGACCTCAGAGAGGAGATCTCCCGCACACAGACCCTGCTGTGGAGAGGGGCCCTCAAGGGGATGGCCTCCTCCCACATGGGAGTGAGGTTCAGGTCCGGAGGTGAAAGTGGGGTGGAAGGGGGGTCTCCAGGGCTCCTGAGGGTCCCCATGTGTACCCGGGCTAAAGGAGGTGACAGGAAGGACAGGGCACTCCATGGCAGGCAAGCCAGTGTATGGGCCTTTGTGTGAACCTAAAAGGCCCAGTTCTACTGCTGTCCATGAAGCAGTGACTAAAGAGACTGATGCAGGAAGAACTTCATTGGCAAACACCACAGGCAGGTGGATGATGGAGGGTCTGTGCCCTATAACCCGTTTTGGGGGGTTATAAGTACAAAGGGTTACTGTGACTTTCTGGGAATCTCTGTAGCCTGACCAGGTGGGTACCATGTGTCACTAACTTGAGGTAATTGATTCTTCTTACCACAGTTTCCGTGTTGTCTTGCAGGTCCCCTTGTGTTCCTGGTCCCTGTAGTTCTAAAGATTTCTGAGTAGGAGACCAGGCTGACTTTAGGGGTTATTCGGGATGCCAGGCGAAACAGCTACAGTGAAAACCAGACTTGCTAGAGCAAGGAGCCAGTTAACTGGCTCATCAATTAACCTGTTTACCTGTTAGCTCATTCATCAGTTAACCTGTTCATCCATTAACCAGTTCAACGGTTGTCCTGTTGTTCATCTGTCAACCCATTTACCCATTCATCCATTGACCAATGCACCAGTTAACCTGTTCATCAGTTAACCCAATCACCTCTTCACAAGTTAAATTGTTCATTCATTAACCTGATCATGTGTCAACCCATTCATCAGTTAGCCTGGTCATCAACTTCTGTTAACAGATTTGCTGGTTAACATACTTCTTGGCTTCATTTGCTGACGTGGCTCATTGGTTTGGGGTCTCCTCGGAATCCAGGAGCACCAAATGACCACCTTCCCTCTTGTGTTCTGAGTTTTCCATGTCAGGACTGACAACCTATGCAGACCTGTAATTGGACATCTGTAAAACTCCAGTAGCTACAGGGCCGTGCAAGTGGACAATATAGTTCAATGTTAACAAGGTCAAGGGACAACTCAGTTTCCCAGTGTGGTCCCATTATGGCCTAATTAGGACCTTGGATGGATTGAAGCACCAGTCAAGTCTCAGTTCAGAGATGATTTTGATGTTCCAGCTCAATCGTTTTAGAAAAAACACATTTCAGTTCTGGTTCAGACTGGCTCACCAGACGCAGTGTGCTTGGAGGTTTTAATCTTTGATTTAGTTCATGGTTCAGTTCCACACTTAATACATTTTCTACCCCTCATCGAATTAACAAAGATGAGAGAAATCATCACACTTGGCCTTCGTGAGGGGTATGAGATAGGCGATGCAGGGTGCAGGGGCTACAAATTGGTACTTTTCTACAACTTGATGTCTGTCAAATGTCACCGTGTTCAGACCCAGCAATTCCAGGGATTTACCCTAAGTATATAATGAGGAGTGCACAAAGATGTACACACAGGGATGCTTTGTTCAGCATTATTTATGACCTGGAAACAATCAGGTGTCACATAAATGTCCAGCATTGATGTTTAGCTATCTAAAAGATGAAGGCAACCATTTTGTGACATTTTATGTAAGGAGAGAAAAGTGTATCATCTCGTCTATTTCCAGTGGAAGGGGAAGTTTTAATTAAAGTTGTAACTGACTCCAAACAGGATGGATACTGTGGAAATGTGTTCCCTCTACAACTCTGCTAGGCATTTGTGCTGTGTTAGAAGTAAGCCTTTCAGTGTGACTGCAGATCCTGATGTTTGGGATATATATATTCATTCTTTAAACATCTGTGA